CAACGATTAAGATAACACCCACGTTTGAGAAGCTCCATTAGGTTCTTGCGCTCGCGCTCCTGACGATCAGTCTGGACGCGTAACGAAGAGACCTCTCCACGCACTTCAGAGACCTATCTGCAAGCTGTCCCCAGCTCTTCAAGGAGGGAGCGGACATCGCGCTCAACCTGAAGCTGGGCGAGGGTGTAATTGGCACCATCCTTCGCTCGATCAGCCTCACGATCCTTGCGATGCTGCCGCACGGAATCGGTCTAAGCGTAGAGCCTTTCACCTCTCGTGCTCCAAATCCTCGCGCAATCTCTTGAATTGCGCGATCGATCTTGTATTGGTCGAGATGGTGAGCCGAGCGACTTGGAGGAGGTTTTTCCTCCTCCTCCACATTCTTTGGTGGACTCACAATGTGGTCAACGCTTCTCTGTGGAGCGTATCTTGAACCACCGTGACAATTTAGGATCAAGGAAGAGTTACCTCGTCCAGTGACGGGGGTATCCACCCTCGTGGAACAGCTGGGAGCCGGACTCCCAGCTGATGATGAATGTGCCCGGTCTCGTCGAACAGTACGATGAGACACACCCTTTGAAGGAGGACCATCGTGTAACGAACGCCCGGCGCGTTCGTAAAGGGATCGTAAAGTCTCAATCCCTTCATAAATCTCGGAAGAGATAAGCGCCCTCCAGTAGGGTTGATTAGGGAGGAAGGCCTCCCTAGTCGCGCGAACAGAGTTGTCAATACAACTATGACATTTCTCTCCCCACGAGAGGCAAGGTAAACCTGCCTCTCGAGACAATAGGTGCCTTATGAGCCGAGCACCGGTTATTGACTTGTGTTCAAACTCATTGCGTGCTGCAGTAAGTTTGTCCAGACAAATGTCACGGCCAACAATTCAAATGTTGCCTAATAATGAGTTCCACGCCTGAGCTAACGAGAAATCGTCTCGTTTGTGGTTACCGTGGTACCATCGATGTCTGGAAAAGACATTGATGTAAAATTTATGCTCAGTGCGAAAACGTTTCGTACTGGGGTCAAGTCTATGGATCCTTGACAATTCAAAGAGTAAAATTCGAAAACTCCCAGTGGTATAACCATACAATTGTCTCAGCTCGCTCAAGGTAAGCATCCATGTCTTGTTCTCAGGAGCAGATCGCAACGCGTTGCGATCCTGCTCCTAGTGCGTGTTGCTAACATGAGAGCTGACACCACGATCGCCTCAATACCTAGTATTGCCGCGGCTATGGCTACGATGACTCCGCGAAGAGTCATCGGTATTCTCATAAGTACTTACTTCCTCACGTTTTGCGCTCACCTCGTACGAATACGAGCGCGATCGGTTCGATCCCGGCGACAAGTTCACAGACTCGTCGGATAAACCAAACTTCTCATGGCGCAAGTCTTTATCGAGACTACCGCTAGGCGCAGCAGTCGTCGATTCCCGCAACCTTACGGTCGGGCTTTGCGCACGTCTTAGAGTCGGACGGAGAATCCGACTCGCCCGAATACACCACCGCTATTTCGGGATCTAGGTCCATGGGACTACCTCTGGCATCCGAAGCTGCGAGTGAAGAAGCAGCACGTGGATGACCACGTGCTCCTGCAACTACGGAGCTGCATGCTGCTTACTGGCAGCAGCAGGTGGCTTGACACCTGCTGCTGAGTCTTGGACAGCTTGTTCTCCGGCTGCACGCATCCGTGCAGCCGCCTCACTGGAGGCCTTGTTCGCGCAGCGCATAGACAAACTCGTCATGCGCTGAAAGTCTGAATGCGTTAGGCAGAACCAACAAGTGCTCCCTTTTCCCACAGAGATACCCATTGGTGGTCACTCTGTCACCAATAATCAATCACTCACTCTAGTGACTGATGGTTAAGGAGGGTGATGTAAGGGGGTGAGCCCGTTGCAGAAAAATTGATATTTTCGTATCAATTTTCGAACATTGTCGATTTAATTAATGTTCAATTGGCATTACTCGTAAGGAGTAAGGTTGAAGAAATATTACCCCCGAGGGTTATATTTTCTCTGATGGGTCGCTCCACCTGATGGTTGATGTTCACGGTACATCAACCATATTAACCACCAATCGCTGGTGGACACGCGCAATGGGTGGTGAGCAAGAAACCCACATAGGAGGTTGTAGTTTAATATAGTTAGCTAAAGACAAAAGATGGTTGATTTAAAAACATAACTATATCAAATACAGTTCTACTTCTCTCTTAAACAGAGCTTTCGAGTTCTGCCTACTTCGTTGCGCTTCCTCACTTCACGTGTACGTGACGTTGGGTGCACACAAACTTGTGTCGAATTGACACAAGGCGTGTCCTCGTTACGATAGTTATATGAATTGGCTTTGATTGGCTAACATTAAACATAGTTTAATTTGATTCTTAATCACGTGCAAACTTCTCCTCCGGGTCGGATTACTGGCCACCAGGCGTCAGGAAAAGTTGCATACATGAGTCAAATGATTCCCCTGAAATGTTTAGCCAGGGTTCAAGGGACTCGCAAAGCAAACCCCCCACTGCGATTGGACGCAGCACAAAAGTAAAGGTAAAGGGTGCACGATATTAAGACGGCTCAAGTGGTCAGAAGGCACGCAGATAGAACATCGTCGTTGAACAAGGCGATCTAAACCAGATCACGGCAACTTATAGAGACCTAACCCCAATCTACGCAATCGTGTGAAGGTTTCCACGCGATAGCTTAATCCCAACCACGGTCAAGTTCGGAATCAGCTCGACTCCACCTGGAAGAGTGCAACCCGCCCAATTGACGGATACACAAGGGGAAAAATTTACAGCACGGTATCGGATTACCCCCTCCGTCAGTCGGTCGTCCCGTCGCCCGTGGAGGGTTGGGATCTACTCAATAAACGAGCGTTCGACACTCCCTACACCATACTGAGTAGTTGTAGGCAATATCGACGCATCTGAGACACAATTCTAGAAGCGAAGCCTACGCATTCTACTTGCGGTTTTCGTTCGCAAATCTGGGTGTCTGACGAAGCAGCGCATTACACCTCAGGATTAGGAGAAATGAAGCGCATGGAAGCTGTACGAAGGACTATCAGTGTGCTAGTAAGCTATGTTTTTCCTTAAATCGATCTCGTACCACCAGCTGTAGTAGCGCGACACTATGAACGGGTCTTGCGTACATAAATGTGAACAAGCGCTTTGCAGTGATTAATTTTCCGAACACTATACACAGTGCCTTTTGAATTCTTTTTGTTCTCCAATTGTTCACATATGTACGCTATGTAAACACTATTTTATTTCATTTTGCAAAAGATCGCATTTAAGACATCGTCTGCTGAATAAATTTAATTGAGGCAAAATCAATATTTTTTATTAGCACAAATGTATTGCTTGACTCAAAGTATTGAGATAACTATCACGCTCAAGCATGGTCAGCACACTACTAATTGTAGCTTTTTGTTTCTCGTCAATTAAATTAACCGAATGAGTAGTTACAAGTTAGAATTACAATACAATGATAAATACGTATGAATCTCATTATTTGTTAATTGCTTTTTCACAAATATACTCTACAATAATTGTATTACAACCATCTCTGTTATTTATGCCTGCTTTGGTGAACGCGTGACAAAGAGGTCGACCACATACGTCGCTGCCGTCTTTGTCGCTCGATTTCCGAGTCGCCAGGATGCAGCCAAAGCTTGACGGCGACGCGAGCGCTGCGGTGTCGTCTGCTGCAGGCGCTACAGATACCGAAGCGGATACCACGACCTTGAAGCGTCTCCTGGAAGCGGCAGAGGAGAGAAGGAGATGGATTGCCAAGCGGAATGACATCGTAATGCGCAAAAAGAACCTGCTGAAGCTGCTCGAGCTTCAAGCTGGAAAGTCTGCAACAGTCACGGAAAGTAACGCTCAGCGAGAGAAAAACGAGGCGGAAGCGATGACGAGAGAAGCAAAAGACGTCGATGCGATGGACACTGCCGCGCTGGCGCGAAAAAAGGAGTTACAAGAGCTCCAGATGCGAGCAGGAGCGGCCAAAAAGGTTCCGAGTCGTAACTTTGTATTGATGTGTATTGTCTTAGCACAGATCGATTTCGCTACCGTTTCATACTGACGTGCAATGCTTGGTGGCCATTTGTAACCCGACTACAGACACAGCAGATGGCAGCAAGTGTGCTGGCGAGGAATTTGAAGCAGCTGCAAGTCAAACGCAAAAGAGACGAGAGGGAAACACACGATGGATGGAGGAAGCGGGATTGTGTAGCGAGAGATGGCTCGGCTCACATTGCCGCTGCTATTGCTGCTCCTTTTACCCCGACTACCACTGCTGTCCCAGACATGCCCCCTTGTAAGGTGCTAAATGGCGCTGCACGTTGTGTTTACAGTCTACGAAAGCTGACAAGTGGGATGTGGAATTGATGTCTGGTAGTTGCCACTGCGCCAGACTTGGATGTAGGAACGCCAGAACTGACAGAGGCTGCGTGCTTTCGTATCGCGACGCGTCATCTCATGCAGACGGGATTGGTACGACACAAGCGGTAGTAGCTTTGCGGGGACAAACAGCGGTGATGTCTTACAAGCTGGTGTGGACGATAATGTATTTGTGAAGATGATCTCCAGCGAAAAGCTCAAAGAGGCGTTTGCAGTTTACACAGGGAAGATTTTGGACGAGGGCATGGACTCGCTAGTACTGGACCGCTGCTTGGTGAGCTCCGATGTTCGGGAACCGCGACACACTTCTTGGACCTCAATTGCGACAAAGTGTGTGCCATGGCAACCCGGGCGTCAATCGTTAGAGATCCCAACGTTTATCTCGTCTAGTGCAGGTACGAGCTGCGTTTTCATTCGGTAATGTATGGCTTGGTCTGACAGCTGTAATGCACTGTAGCTCGCATTCAGTCGTTGATCGATGTTGAGAAGGAAGTGGTTGCTGCCGCTTGTAATACGCTGCAGCCGCTGGATGTACAGGAGCCTGATAGGAGTGCAGAGCTTATCAGGAGGCATCGACACGCAAGCTTCATGGAAACCTGGCTGGCAAGCGGTGGTACAACTCCTACGCTTTCAGTTCTTCTTTGTGCCAGCATTGGTGTGCATCGTGTCGAGCCAACGATTGTCAGGAGTTTTGGCATGCCAAACCGATCGAATGGACAAATTGCAGACGTTTTTGATGATGTGGGGCGATGGTTGCGCGAACAAGCTGAGACTACTGGCCAGTACAGCAACTTACCTCTGCAGTCAGTCGGCCTCGATACATTTCGAATGGCTGGAGCTTCTGTCTCCTCGAAGTACGCAAAGCCATTTTCTGTCGAAAACGAATCAATAGTGAGGCAACTCCGGGGAGCCGAGACGGCAAATGCATCTACACTCGAGAAAACGATCGACCCTATGAAGTACGTGCATTGCAAGGCCCTTGTACATCGTTGCAGTTGTGATACTAACGCGCTCCTGATTGTGTAGAATATTGTGCCACTACGAATTGAATGGAGCTTGTAACGACGAGAATTGCTCGAACTATCACCAGAAGGACTACAAATCAGTCGGCAGGAGCACAAGCAGTGTCGGCCATCGCACTTTCGATGGCAGTGATACGAAGGATGCGAAACAGACTGAGCCGGATCATTTGCTGCTATCGTTTGCTGAACTTCGTGGTAAACTTATGAAAAAGTGGCCATTGATAAGTACGCAGACACTTTCTGTGGTAGGTGCTGGCAAGAAAACGTGATCGACACATCCGTGTCGTCATTTTGTGGCCCTCAATACTGAACCAGTGTTTGTGTTTGTTTGCGGCACGTAGGCTATCGGGCAGAGCAGCAGTGGGAAACCCGACGTTCCAGACGTGACGATGTCTAGTGGAACTAATGCGATGGAGCGAGTAGGGAGACACGGGGTACGTCATGGCGAGGACGCAGATGCGAATGATGACAACTTTATAGCGCTTGAAAAGGACGGAGAACCTCTTGAGGCTGTCGATGCTCGTTACTTTAGATCGCTCGACTCGGGGAAAGCGGTCGGTGACAAGCTCGTAGAAAACGTGGAAAATGATCCGAACAACCCCGCCGCGTGGCTTCTTCTTGCTATATATCAGCTCGACCTGGATGGAGGCGTGAGGTATGTTTGGCCGTTTGTACGATGTTGTGCAAGTTTCGCTTTTTGTGATCACCGCATTTGTGTTTTTTTGTAGCGATGAAATCGCGCAGCAGTCGGACAACGATCGCCTCCACCAACAACTTGTTTTTCTGAGCACAGAGCTCGACACAAATCTTCGCGGTGGCGCCTCGCACGTCATCGATGTCGGGGAGACAAATTTGAAACGGTGTCTGCATACGCTTTCACGCGGTTTGGAAGTCGAAGCCAATGCATATTGTGAAGCGCTTTGGCTACTGTACCTTTGTCTGTGCAAACAGGTTACCAACAAGCAAACGCAACTCGACATGGCCGAACAAGCCGTACAGTTTTTGCCAAATTCCCACGCGTTGTGGCTTCGTTACGTTTCGACTTACGATTTCGATTCCGTGGGCATGGCAGAAGAAATATACTGGCGACTTTTGGCTCATCTTGCTCAAGACGCGATGGCCACTGAAGATGGGCAGCTTGCTTTGAAACCAACTCCTACCAAGCAACGATCGATCCTATTGGCAGCAATATGCTTTCATCTCTGTATAAAGTTGTGGAATGCTGGGGCAACAAGTCGAGTGGTAGAAATTCTGTCAGCTTTGCTGGAGTTTGGCAACACGTCTTCGGACTTGGATTGCTGTAGTATGATCCGCGGACAATTACGCAGCGAGGAACTGGTAGTATTTTGTTTGGCGTTCGCTCATGTTCTCCTTTTTAACGAGCTGCCCGAATTGATCGAGCACTGGGTAGTTGCTAGTAGCGATGAAGACATTCCAGTCAAGGGAATGGCTTACAGTCTTGGATTGTTTGAGCGTGCTTGTCTTCATAAGGACGAAGACATTTTTGCCCGAGTCTTGGCCGCCTACGATCTCGCGTATCAAACGTTTGAAAAGGAGTGCGACAACGATCGCGACACTGGCAATGTTATACTAGTCAACTGGATGCTTGCACTTGCACACCATGACGATCGTGGCGAGAACAAGAAGACCCTGCAGACGTTTTTCGAGCAGAAGCTCGATGCCATCCAGCAGTTTCCTGATGCTTCACTGATCGCTGCGAAGCTAATGGGGTCAACACAGACCGGCAAGGAACAGGGGTGTCAACTAATGGTCAGCATGGTGAGTCAAAGTCTGTTAGCCACGTTTCCAGAGGCTTTACACCGTTATTTGTCAGCGTGTCGCCAGTTCCCCGAACTCGTCGATGCTTTGAATGACACGTTAGTCAACACGATGGAACGCTTGGCGGGTCTTTTGTGCTTTGACGTTGACGAGGTCAAGAAGTCTTTCCACGACATTATGTACGACACCAATAGTGTGTGCAAGTTGCGCGCTCAGAAAGCATTGTTGGATGGTTTGCTGGCCGCATGGGTTGACAAGTTTGGTGCGCTACAAACGTTGAACCGAGACCGATCGATTGATGAACGGCCGAAACAGCTCGCACAAATTTGTGTGGCGCTAGACATATGTCAATTGATGGGCATTTTGTTGGGACCATCCGCTGCGATTGATGGCATTCAAAGGGTTTTGAGCTCGTCAAGCTTTGGTGCTGTCTCGTACGAAGCAAGGCAGCTTGCATGGGCTCAACGCTTTTTATTCCAGTTGGACCTGCTGCAACGAAACGAGCCCGAGAGCCTGCCATGGCGGGAGCACCAAGCGAGGTTAACGCGCTTGCTTCATAAGTATATGGACGAGATGAGCGTAGAGGCCGAACTCGCACGCCAAGTCTCACAGTATGTTCGGCGCGACATCGCCAGAAATGCTGTGGACGGTGCGGTGCGCGCTTGTCTATATCCGGAACGGCACCACTTGATTACGTTTGATGTCAACCTGCAACTTTTTCTGCTCTGTTCGAGCGCAGTAGCGGAGAGAGAGCAGGCTGCTTTTTACGCATCGTTCACGACTTCACTTGCGCTTTCACCGGATTTTTCGCTCGCCTTTACTAGTACGCATAATGTCACGAAGGACATGCATATGTTTGTCTACTGATCAGTTGGCTGATGCTCGTTCTTGTCAATGCAGGTATTGCTTGTCATCGATGGGAGCTTTTGGCTGCGCGAGCAAGCCTGAAAAAATGTCTTGCGGGAACAAAGACACGGCGTTCTTTGATACTACAAGCGTTGGTAGCTGTGGAGGTGCGATTGGGAAACATGAAGGCAGTGTCCTGTCTGCTTCAGAGCGAAATCGTAGCGGACCCGCTACAGTTGGAGACTTGGCGCCTGATTGTGGGCCTGGAGGTTTTGTTTGGAGAAACGTTGGACGCGAGATCAGAACAAATCGCAGAAGACATGGAAAAGCGGCAAGTGGTGTTTACGTGCAACACATTTGGCGACGACAAAAGATCGAGCCAAAAGGATATACTGCAGGGTGGAGATTTTGAATCTACATCCCTAAATCTGCGAGGCCTTGGCTTAACACACGTTCCGAATGCCGTATTGTTGAATGAGAATCTGGTATCGTTGGACATCAGTGGAAACAAGCTCACGGATCTACCCGCGGGCTTGTGTCGACTGCAAAATCTTCGCACACTTAATGTGTCAGAGAACGCGCTAATCAAGTTTCCTGCATGTGTTCACGGTCTCACTCAGCTCAAAGAGCTGAGACTGGCGCACAACAATCTGACCACGGTTCCACTTCCAGAACTGTCACATCTCGTTGTCTTCGATGTTCGCTGGAATGCAATCACTCGCTTTCCCGCACGGGCCTCATTCCCACCGTTACATCTGAGTGTACTGCAGGCTGAGGGAAACGCGATTCCAGCGGGCGAACTGTCAAGAATCTCCGAGTCTTTGTCGCGCAAAACGGGTGACGCCTCCCATGGCTTGAATACCCAAGAGTCGATGTGTAAGCTGGACAAGGAGGTTGAAGAAAACGGTGAAGGCCATATGGAAATGCAGACTGGCGTCAAATTTTGTGAAAGCACAAGTGGTCAACACAATGAGGCGTGTCTTTTCGAGTCCACAGAAGTTGAAATGGCCGTTGGAGATACAGACGCAGCGTCTGTTCGCACGGAAAGAGAAAGTGGCGAAGACCAAGCCACGAAACAAAAGGCCGTCGACACTACTCGAAAGTCGAATGAGGACGAAGAGGATCAGACGTCGGACAACTCTGTGACTCAGCCGAAAAGATGCAGCGCTGGTCAAGTCGTGGTAGAGGACGACGCTGACACACAGTCGAAGCAAGGCCAGACCTTGGATGAAGAGAATGCCGGTGGTGAAATGTCAGATGCGGTGTCTACGGCAGGCATTGAGCAGACCTCAATTGAAAAGAACACTGCTGGTGTACTGACAAAAAATGAGCTGACCACGGCGAGTACAGCTGCTGAGCAGTCGAGGGAGACCGTTGAGATGGACGGGTCGAACTTTTGCGAAGGAGAGGGTTTGGAGACGCTAGCGTCCGACGATCATGTCGCAGCTATTAACCTTACGACCGAGGTCGTGGCGGCAGTGGCAGCGACTCACAGCGTGATCGATCTGGCGATCTCGGATATCAACGATCCTGACACGGCCGGTATGGCTAAAAATGACGCGCTCGCGCACGATCGTGTTGTCTCGACCGTAGCTTCTGAGCGACAGTCCGGGCATGACGGGAAAATTGTCACACGGAGAGATCTCGCTGAGTATATGGAGCAAAATCACATCCACAGCCGTGCCGAAGTCCGGGCGCGCCACCCGGCATTGTGGCGACAATTTTTGGCTAACTGTCTACCCATGGGTCTCGAGCTGCCAGCATGTAGACTGTGCTTTGCGCCGAATGATGGCTACAACCAGCGTTTCAACACCACAGTTCTCTGTGTGCGCTGTCTCGAAGACGCTCTCATCGTGCTAAAGCATCGAAATGAGAACTCGAACGAGGCACAGGAGATCGGTTGAGGCCTAGCTGTCCAAAACTGGCGGTGACCCGATACATACCTGAGGCATGCGTTGTCGCGCTGCAATATCGTCTGTTCATTTCACCTGCGTGTCACGGCACATGTATTCATCTCCAAGTTGTACAATAATCCAAACATACGTACTTGTCATTCCAGTCAGCGGCTCTGAAACAATTGCTGCAGTTGGTCGACCGGTCTTGACTGGGTGAGTGGTTAAATAAACTAACGAGGAATTGCCTACCGGAAGATCGAAATGTTCAGGAAACCAGTGCGAGGTTTGTGCTTTCGTTGCAGTAACCAGCGACGTAGCTGCCAGGAGCTGTCGTGTCACTCGTCTACACCGCAAGTGAGTTTCGATATGTTTTTCTTGGATTGACGGGCCACATACGTCGTGCCTTTGCGATTTTTCACGTGCGATGTCCCAGCTGAGATCAATCTAAAGTTGCCAAGAACGGCTGCTGAGGCTCTGAAAATGCCTCCCAATATACAATGGATCGCGCGAGAATGACGCAGTGTAAAAGCAGTACCGGTCAAGGCATTTCTCTCACCAGATTGCAGCGCAGGGCTGCGAAGAAGAGGTGGGAAGGCCAAACGGGACGTCAATCCAGCAAATCGACTCGTTGAGCCGTTATGTCTCACTACTTGGTCAGGAGAAAACTGTTGCCACAAGACATGGAATCGTAGTCTGATCTACGGTTGTAAAGATTGTCGTGTTGTGAGAGCCAGACCATTGGCAAGTGCTCCGTCTTGTGCGACGTTATGCATTCAATCATACAAACACTGTCATCAGCGTTGTGGTCTGGCATTTGTCACCAACCTTTCCAAGGAAGCGAAAAGTGCGCCATCCAACTAAAATGGACCGAGTAGGAAGTTTTCAAGCATCCTGGACACTACCAATCTTCCGCTGAAGCTCTTGTTTGCCATACAAACTCGCGTCAAACGATCGTCGTTGACCACTCGGTGTTCATTGTGTATGACTTTCCACGCTGTAGTTCTACTTGAATGGAGGGCGTTCCCTGTCCAACCGTTAGCCTACCATTGTCATACTAGACTACAGAAAGCTGACATTCTTAGCAGCAGGACTTACTGCTGGCCGGAACAACGTTTTGTAGTCTACACTCGGGGATATCTTGTGGTGTATCTTGCAATGTGGTGATGGCGTAGACAAATCATCAATAGGATGCAACTAAACTCACGATGTCGTACTCATTTTCCATCACTCCAGTGGTGGCCATGTTAAACTGCATGCAGCCGCTTCTTGTTTCCTCTGTACCTCAGCACTTTGCTATACTCAACCATAAATCGTGTCGTGCTTCATTTCCGGGCCAAATTCGTACCTCATCATCGGCCGCGTAACTTGCTCATTCTGTGTCATACTCATCTTCCGAAAAGCCTGACCCAATGTGGTCTTCCTCCGAGTCTTCCAGGTCGTCCAAGTCGCTATCGCCCCTGTCTGCATCTTCGAAAAAGTGGAAAAGGTGGTTGTATTGTTGAAGCAACGACTGCAGCATCGCATCGCCATCTTCGTGGTGACTTCGATTGCGCTCTGCTTTCATCCGTCGTTTCGGACGATCCAAAGGTTTCACATCACGACCGCTAGCGTCAAGGTGCGCATAAAAACAACGGGGTCCGAACGGACAACTGCCCAAGAGGCCGTTGAAGTATTTGCACTCGCGCAAAGCCAAGTGGCTTTTGTACGCCTCAACTGCCTTGCGCTTCTCGTCGCCGATGCAAAACGTAAGCGATGGCACAATGTAGTCACTGGGGATGCGGCAAGCTGGACACGCTCGAACGAGCTCCATTTCCTTCGACTGCCGCCACGAACGCATGCACTCCAGGCAAAAACAGTGGTCACAGCCTGCAGCACACACAGCAGTCAGCTCCACAAGACCTTTCCATGCAATTGCAATGCACCTCTCTATCGTTGCACATACGCACAAACACAACAAAACTCAATTGCCACTCACTGAGTAGTCCGAAGTGTTTGCCGGACTGCACGATATCGTCAAAGCAGATGCCACACGTGAACTCCTGCTGGTTGTCAACACACGCAGCCGAAACGGCCGCAGGTTTCGACACTCGACCAGTAGCGCAAGGCATATCGGGGGCTTGTGATAGTATCACCGAGTCATGTCGAAGCCGGCAGCGCTCGCCAAATTTGCACTTGCCGCGCAAAAAGAACGGACAGTCTACCAGTGCGGCCGCGGCCGATAGACGATCAGCTTCATCGACCGCGCAATCCGTCACGAGGTGAGGCAGCGTATGGGAAAAGGTACAGCGGCTGCCATAGATGCACTTGCCGAGCACAAAAAACCGACAGAGCACTGCGGTCGGTGCGCCATCTGCAGCGTCCTCCACACGAGCCAAGTGCTGCTGCTTCTCTTCCTCTTCCTCTTCCTCCCAGTCCAAGCCCAAGTCCAGTCGTTCCTGTTCTGTAGCCATCGCCTGAAAGTGCTGGAAGCTCTTCCAGTCGATACTGCAGGAAACGCACGCGGGATCAGCATTCCCATCTCATTCTTTGCTTGTGCCTCAACGAGGCTTTGGCTTACACGCACCTGATCCTGCGCGCAGACGACAACGACGATGACGACGACGAGGAGCGATCGTGACTGTAACGGGACATACATAAAAGGTGATGGACAGTGCTGATGGTGACGTCACGTTGCGTGTCTCCACGCACCTACGAGACGCGGAGCGGCGCATGTCGGAGCTCTTTTTCTCGTGGAGCTCTTGGGACACCCACCTGCTGTGTCTTCTGTGTCTTTCGAGTCGCGAGAATCAGAATGTACCCTGTTGCTGGTACCCACCCACCACGCAACCGCACAACAAGACCTCGTCAGCCGAGTGTGTGTGTGTTTCGGGACAACCAGATGATCGATTGTCAATGTTGGACTCTCTCCTGATCCAGTACTGACCAGCAGGTCAAAGCAGTCAGTCGCCTGTGCGAGGCAAAAATCCACTGCGCGATAGTCAACGCAAGTCAAATCGTGTGCACGAGGGGATGGACTCATCTCGAGATGTGTCCCCCTCGCTAGAAACGCCTCATTGTTTAATTGTCCGCGCAAGACGTAGGCGCCGTGCACACATCACTTGCCTACTCCCCGTCTTCCTCCTGCTACTGCGGCACTCGTTGAGTGCACATGAGCACTACCACTTCGAACGGCATCAAGCAAGCGTCTGAAACAGAGACGTCCGAGTACTGCTCCATGGCAGCGTCTCCCCGATACTCGACAAGTGCAGCGCTCATGACACTGAACGACAGTACGGGCGAGACGGAGCACTCGGCGTTGCACGTGGGCGACTCCGATACGACGGCACCAGCGCCTCCCACTGCGTTGCAGCGCATTGTGCGTCGCTACCGGCTGTTGGAATTTGGAAGCGCAGCTGTTTTGCTGGCACTGGCGCTGTTGTTTGCGAACATTAAAGTGCACGAGCGTCCGATTCCTGCGATTAAAGTTCGAGTAAGCTCTACTGTAACAACGTATGCGCTCGACCCGTCGATCGACGAGACCAAGTTGGCTGAACAAGGTGAGGGACGAATGCTATTGATGACGAAAGGGATTGCACTATGAAGAGGAGAGAGAGAGAGAGAGAGAGAGAGAGAGGAGGGAGAGAGAGGGAGGGGTGGTCAGTTGGCTGACGATGTGTGATGATGGTGTGTCGTCTCTGTGGTTGCGACTCGCACTAGTTCCAATGTGGCTCTTGATGGCCTTAGGTATTGGTCTGCCAATTGCAACAAACATCGTCGTGAACTACGTGCTCCCGCTCGTTTGCCAAGTCCGCGTGATTGCGCACGATACGCGCGACCTTCTGCTGAGTCTCTTCCAGTCGGTCGCGCTCGCGACGTTCTTTACGCAGTTTACGAAAAACATCACCGGTCGCTTTCGCCCGAGTTTCTACGACATGTGCAAGTGGCAGTACGACGTTGTCTGGGACGGCGTCTCTAACTTGTGCACAGATGCTGCCGGAGAGAAAGAAGGACGCAAGAGCTTTCCGTCTGGCCACGCGTCTTTTGCGTGGGCCAGCATGCTCATTTTTGCAGTACGTCGAGCGCTCGTCTGAATTCGCCTCTTCGCCTCTGCTTGTGCGGTGGTTGAGCTGGCACTGACTGACGTTGGTTCTGTATCGTGTCGCGTGTATGGCTGCAGCTTTACATGCTGGGTCGATCGCGTCTCAACTGCGAAAATCGCAGCAGCACGACGCTGCGAGGTGGCAAGAAGTCGTTGATGCTGTTCCTGTGCTGCACGCCGATAATCCTCGCGTCCTGGATCTCGGTCTCACGCTGCATTGACAATTGGCACCACTACAGCGATATCTTGGCAGGCAGCGTCATTGGCGCAGTATCGGCGCTGTTTGCGTTCAACTACAACTACGGGTCGATCTTCAGCTGGGATTGTGCGGGACTGCCTCTCGAGGAGATCCACGAACGCCGCATGGTAAGGACGGAGCACGAAGAGCGGTAGTGGTCAAAGTGGCTGCGAGCCTAAACTCTTTGTCGTGGTGTGTTGATGATGTAGATCAAGGCCAAGAAAGTATGGAGCGAGCGATTTAACGAGCCATCGTCGTGGCACACTGACCGGGACTCGCGACCGCCTCTGCTGAATCACATGTCGGGTGAGTTTATTGTTGACCTGAGTAGCCGCAGCCGAGACTCTGTCGGCGTATAAATGAATGACAATGCACCTGTGCTTTCACTGCTGCTTTCACGAGTCATGCGGATGCAATCGATCGGATGACGGTGTTGCCAGACGAAACGCGTATGAACAGTAGCCATGACGACCTCGCGCTTGCAGTGCATCTTTTTATTGCCGTCTATGTTGTTGATGATAGCATCCTCGACTAGAGCGTTGGCCGAGTCGAAGCTGAACATGGGGCTATTGGTGCAGCTATAGGCGATGCAATGGTACGAACGTTGCCGTCAGCAAGAAGGTCCGAGCAGTGGTGCCAATTGTTGATGGACCATGTTATAGTTGCCCATGCCGCCGACAACGCAGACACGAATGTCAGAGGGCGACTTGAGCATATCTGGCCACTGGGTATCGCAGACTTGTAGCACGTTTCGCAGGTTGGAGGCACGACAGATCGAGCGAATGAAGCTATATCCTCCTGCAATCCACACAGCAGTCACGAGCACTAGTCATCCTAGCACAACATGTAATCGCAAGTGCAAAATGGCTTTCGTTGTCTTACCGGCAGCACAAACAGGCAGGTCATGGAAACAAACCGTGACCAGACGAAAAACGCTTGCGGTCTCCTTTCCCTCGACAAGCGCGAGACTAGACATGGCTAGCCTGTACACAGCTTCCAGCCTGCAACACTCGCTCAATCGGCGCACGATATAACCGCCTTCTTGATATCGCTCACACCGTAGCGACGGCTCAACCGAGTTCACCGTGATAGGTGTTGCAACAACAGGTGCTACGACAACACCATCCGTTCCCACCTTGACGTGTATTCCGCAAGTTACCACATGTGTGTCCGTCTTCAACCGCCACTACAACTGTCTCCTGTTCCTTGTGTAACAGCATGTAGGGTTGTTGTCGGACTAGAGCATCTGGTCTACACCCATGCATACCCTCACTGCGCTCAAGCGCCAGCGTTGATGCGGCTATGCATGCCCACTACATAGTCGCTGCGTCCATTCACTGGCTTGCCTGACCCGCTCCCCTGATCACAGCTGTCGTTGCTCGCGTATGTGATGTCGCTAGCACCTCTTGTCACCTTTCTCTACGTGATACAAGCCCCAATCAGGTATCAGCTACGGCAAAGTCAACATAGATGATAATGCACAGGAACATACCTTGCAGGTGGCATGGTAGCCTTGCAGAGGGAACCCAGCATGCTCGCTGTGGAAGATCGACGCGTAGTTGTAACTGTACGACAAGCACGCGGAAACAGCGCCAATGATGCTCCCCGCTAGAATGTCAGCGTAGTGGTGCCAGTTGTCGATGGTACGCGTCACACCCACCCACGACGCCAAGAAAGTAGGGATGAAGCAGAGAAAGAGCTTGATGGATTTACGTCCACCCCGCATCATTGTCTCGCTTCGGTTCTCGCAGTTCAAAGATGATCGCCCGAGCAAGTAGAGCTGCACACAGTTTATCGGGACGCAAAGACATGTCCTCATTGTTACACGACAACCCCGCCAACAACGGAAAAAGCATCTACCTGCACAGCAACAACTCACCGTGAACACCAGCATCGTTGCAAATGCAAACGACGCGTGTCCAGAAGGAAAACTCTTGCGCCCTTCTTTCTCGCCGGACGGACTCTGACACAGATTCGTGACGCCGTCCCACGCAACGTCGTACTGCCACTTGCACATGTCGTAAAAGCACGGGCGAAAGCGTCCAGTCATGTTCTTTGTAAATTGCGTCAACAGCGTCGCCATACTCGTAGACTGCACGAGCGTCAAGAAAAAGTCCCGCGTATCGTGCGGGATGACGCGCACGTTGTGGAACTTGGGCAGCGCGTAGTTCACAAAGAGGTTCGTAAGGACTGGCGCACCAATGCCGACGGAAATCAGAGCAGTCATGGAGACCTGCTGCGCCATCTCTTTGTTATTGATCGTCGGGTCTCGCGCCCATACGGACGTATTCGCGTTCAGCTGCACTTCGATGTTGGAAATCGCACCTGCATAACACACAAACAAGAAAAGCCCAAAATAAGAAAAACACGTCCGATAACAAGATGCCCAAACGTAGCATGTAAAATACAACCACAACAACGACAATAACGAGGGACGAAGAATACAGAAACATAAACTACGCGAGCGTCCGAACGCGCATTGATGACGTACGCTGAGCGACCTGAATGGTGGCAAAGAAGAGTGCAATGCCGTACATGACGACGGCAATGGCAAACTCCACCACGCGGTACTCGTGCACAATGCGGTGCAACTTGCTTCTGCCGTCGCGAGGACGGGGCCCTGCTACCGTCGGCAGCTCGGACGTTGACGTGGTGGACTCCATAAAGGGCATGTCGCTCACGTTGCTCGAGGCGGCGCGCGGCCTAATGCGATCGGGCGTCGTGGTGGTCACTCCGCCTGTGCGTGTATGTACGCGAGCAAAGAGCGAGGGGGTCGACGGCTTTTCTGCGACTGAGGTCGAGTCACACGCGCCCGACTCGACGACGGCAGAGACGCGATGAAGGGCAGAGATAACGGTCGATGCAAGAGGAGCGGACGATCTGATGGCCGATCGGTTCAATTATCATTAAAGATGAGAGGGTATTGACATTGCAACATGCGTTTGGCGCCTGACGTGCCTTGGCAGTTGACACGTATTCGGTGCGGTTCCTCTTCGTATCGATTGTTAGAGGTTCGCGGGAGCTCACTTGACGCGTTCTCTCGTCTTTCCAGACCGTCAGTTCGTTCAGCTGAGGTGTTCCCCCGATCGGTGTACCTCTGTGCTGTTTTCGGTACCTTTTTGGAAACACATGGGAGGGATCCGGTTCGTGAATAGGGCAACAGTCTCGACCCGACAGAGGAAGTCAGCTCAAACTTTCGAAACCGCTGCCGGTAAGAAACTACGAAAGTCGACGCATCGGATACGCGCGTAGTAGTGGGAAGTAACTGAGAACATGCCATTGCCACATTGCCGCTGAGAGGAGTTCCGACCGAACGACAAGTGATGCGACCTGCTCTATTGGGGCCTGGCTGGAACGCGATGGATTGTCGTGCGGTTCCTTCAGATAAGCAAAACAGGCAGCTGGATTCGCTTAGCCAAAAAGTGAGCAACGTAAGTAGAAGCAAGAGGCAAGGAGCACGGAGCGCCAGCGTGCGTTATGAGGTTTCTGACCTTCGATCGTTCATCGCTACAGCCCACTGTTGTGCGGCCATGTCTGCTTGCCACGAGACGATGTCTAGCCAACCTTGTGGCGACTTGTATACTCTATACAAAACGACTCACGCTTAGCTGACACACGCGAGAGTTTGTGTAATGGCATGGACGCCGAAAAAAGACATGTAGCGTCACTCGCTTTGACTGATGTTGTCAACAGCACGTAGTCATGTACACGTCGGGACACACGCGAGAGTTTGCGTAATGGCATGGACGCCGAAGAAAGACATGGAGCGTCACTCGCTTCGACTGATGTTGTCAACAGCACGCAGTCATGTACACGTTGAGATGTATCATGGCGCTGTTATCACAAAGACCCGAGTATATAGACGCACAGTCTCTATCAATAATTTGCAAGCGATGCGGTACACATTGTCCTGTCATCTGGATCCCATTATTTGCCAGTCCAAGCGTCGCCCTGCATCCAGTGTACTGCTTTAAGGCGCATCGCACAAATAAAGTCTGGTCCCTGTCGCGAGCAAAAGTCGCTGTTTTTGCGCAGCTGATTAGCAATGACCAAAACTCCGTTGCCCCTACTCAAGCGCGTGCAACAGCAGATAGTCGTCATCGTCTCTTGGCTATTATTGTTCCCTTCAGGCCAACATCGTCGCAGTCTTTCGTCCAGAGCCGTTTAGTATACACATTCCGAGACTCGTTCGCTACTGGTGCAAAAAACCACTTGCACAAGAGATAGTCGACAGGATATGGCAGCAGCAGCAGCTCACATAGACGTGATCGATCTCTCGAAAAGCGAAGACGATGATGCTGTCGCGTCTGACGACACACTCCCATCGCTGGCGGCGCGGTGGCTGTCATTCGAGAAGGAAATGGTCGAGGAGCTGTACGCGCAGGACGGGATGTTGGTACTGGGTCGTGGGTTAGGCCTCTTGCGCGTGTTTGCGAGCTTCGTGCGTCTCTTTTGCTCGCCCCGCAGTCTCGTGCTCTGTCTGAACGTCAATGAACAAGCAGCGACGCTGCGACGCCTCGTGCTGGCACTGGGTCTCGACCGACGTCGATTGCCGCGCGTCGTAGACGCTCGGACGCCGTTGAGCGAGAGGCAGCAGCTGTACAAACGCGGCGGTGTCTTTTTTGTCACGACTCGCATCCTCGTGGTCGATCTGCTGTCCAGTCACGTGGATCCAGGCATTGTCAGTGGGCTGCTGGTCAACCACGCTCACGCGGTGACGGAAACGTCGATTGAAGCGTTTATCCTACGGCTCTATCGCGAACGCAATCGAGATGGATTCATCAAAGCGTTTTGTGACGACAGCGTCGCGCTATCGTTGGGTTTCAACCGCGTGGAACAAGTACTGAAGCACTTGTACGTGCGCAATGTGTTTTTGTACCCGAGATTCCATGTCTCGATCCACTCGTGTCTAGAGCAACATCAACCTGACGTGTACGAGATCGAAGTGGCGTTTTCACCCTTGATGAAGACCATGCAGGAAGCACTGCTTGTTGCACTGGAAGCCACGGTAAAAGAGCTGCAACACAGCACCAAATCTCTTGACGCCGCTGATCTTACGATGGAGAGGGCGCTTGCAAAGTCGTTTAGCAATTTCATTCGACGGCAATTGGACCCGTTGTGGCACAAGCTGCCCGTTAAAACGAAGCAACTTGTTGCGGACTTGTCGACGCTGCGTCAGCTGCTCGTATACCTTCCACATTACGACGCTATTTCGTATTATTCGTTTCTGGTAAACTACCAAACCATGAACGGCCAGCAACGTTTTCCCTCGCCGTGGCTCTTCACAGATGCTGCGGACCGTCTTCTTTCTGCGGCAAAAGACCGACTATACCAGATTGTCGACCCGAAAACCAAGAAGCCCGTGAATTCCCGTCAGCTCGGTGCATCGAGTGGTTCGACTGCGAATGCTGCAAACATCGCGGAGCTGAAAATTGTGCTTGAGCATAATCCAAAGTGGGATGCGCTCAACGAGATCTTGGACGAAGTGCACCATGAACAACAGCGTGATCAAAAGGAGAAATCGGATCAGGAGAAGGCGAGAGCAGCAGCTGGTGGGGCCAATGTACTGGTGATGGTCAAGGATGAGCGGACCTGTGCACAGCTGCGTGAGTTTTTGAGTTTAGGCACTCAGGAAATGATGCGACGGCGTTTCGGCCATTACTTGCTCCAGAAAGAGGCCACGTTGAAGCAAAAAGGAGGTAGTATGGCTTCACTGGGGCTTGAGCAACGACTTCTTTTGGACGCCGCCGTGAAATTACGAGCAGATGAACTGTACACTGAAGAGAAAGCGGCGCTCTCGTCAGGCGCGAAAAGCAAGCACAAACCTGGCAACTCGAAGAAGCGAATGCGAGAGAAGTTATCACAAAGCAGCTACCAGGATGTCCAGATGCACACTACTGATGTGTCGAGCTTCGGTTTGTCAGCAGCAGAGCTGGAAGCCATTACTGCAAAGTGTGATGAACAAGTAGGGTGTGGTGCCAAAGCAAGATTGTCGGTAGACGGCTGTCTTCGTGGTGGTCGGGAAGCGTTTCACCACCAAGATCGATCTCCAGGAACGCTGGATTTGTCACTTGAGCTGGTAGACCCCCTCGACAGCGTCGTGCTATGTACATACGGTCAAGCCACGCAGCATGGCTATGGCGCCTCCGCTTTTCTTGAAGACCTCATGCCTTCTTGCATCGTGCTGTACGACCCAGACATGGCATTTATTCGCGAAGTCGAAGTTTTCCATGCCTCACACGTTGCTCCACTTGAGATCTACTTCATGATGTACAATGAGAGCACGGAGCAGCAATCTTACTTGAGTGAAATCCAGCGCGAGAAGCGTGCTTTCGACAAGCTCATTCACCAGAAAGCTCACTTGATGATGCCGGCCAATGTTTACGACCTGCCGCTCCACATGAAGCTACGAAAGCAGATCGTAGAGTACAGTATGGACACACGAACGGGAGGTCGGGCCAAGTCTCATCGCGCTGGCGTTAAAGTTGTCGTGGATGTCCGCGAGTTTCGGAGCGCCTTGCCATCCATGCTTCACAAGGAAGGGCTGTTTGTCCTCCCCGTGACGCTAGAAATTGGCGACTACGTCTTGTCACCAGAGATTTGTGTGGAGCGCAAGAGCGTGAGTGATCTTTTCGGCTCGTTGAATTCCGGGCGATTGTTCAACCAGGCAGAAAGCATGCGGCGCTACTACAAAACACCCGTGCTATTGATCGAGTTTACTCAGGGCAAGGCGTTTTCATTGCAGGACGTGTCAGAGCTGAGCTCCGAGATCACTGCCACGAACATCATCTCCAAGCTGACCCTACTGATTCTGCACTTCCCCTCACTACGAATCCTCTGGTCTCGCTCACCACACGCAACGGTGGATCTTTTCAAGATCATCAAGAAGTATCAAGAAGAACCCGATATTGATACTGCAGCTGCACTTGGCAATGACGACACAGTAGCAGACGCCAATGCTGGTTCAAGCAATCGCGGCGAGGGAGGGCTCGCGGCAAACTACTACAACACTAGCTCGATCGACGTGCTGAAGAAGTTGCCAGGCGTGAATGAACACAATTACCGCAAAGTGATCGCGAGCATCAAAAATCTCGCCGAGCTCAGCCGGCAGTCGCTAGACGAACTCACGGCGCTTCTGGGCAAAACGAACGGGAAGAAGCTACACGCGTTTGTAAACAGAACGCAATAGAATCGCTGGTACCTTACCAGACACGCACGATATGGCAAGCACCAGACGAACATGGGAAAGCCACATCTTTTAAACAGTATTGTTCTAGGTCGGTATTCCGTCTGGCTACCGCGAGACCGAAACTTTCCCGAAGTTGTCGTTTGCTGCAAGCACACGAGACCGTGCAATGCATCTCACCTGCTCCAGGCCTAGAATTTAAACACCTGCTTCGACGTGTACTTCAGTTCCTTCAGCAGGCCCTGCAGCTCGCCTTGCGACCTATCTTTCGCCTTGTCACCCGAGACGTGGTACATCATGGGCGGCGGGCCGCAGACACACACGAGGTTGTCGTCCGACGGCTTTGGCATGTACTGCTCGAGCATCTCCTTCGAGACAAAGCCCGTCAGACCCTGCCATGCAGCTGACGGGTTGCTCAACACATGAACGACCGAGACCTGAGGGTACAAGTACATCATGGCCTCCACTTCCTCCCGCAAGATAATGTCTTCTTCCGACACACTGCAGTACATCAGTGTGATCTTTGTGCGGTCTTCCGGGTTGCGGCAAATGGTCTTAATGAGCTGCAGCATGGGAGTAATGCCAGTCCCGCCAGCGATCATGCCAATGCTCTTGTACTTGTTGGGGCTGTACGTGAACTTCATAAACGGGCCCTTCATCTCCAGCGAGTCGCCCTCTTTGAGCTCGACAATGTGTTTGCTCATCTTCCCTTGCGGGTACCCCTTGACCACGAGCTCGAGAAAGCCCTTCTCCTCGTTCACGTTCGTTGGCGTGTAGGGGCGCACGACTGTCTTGTCATCAACGCGGGCCCGCGCCATGAGGCAACTGGGCGTCGTGAGGCCCATCTCGTGCTCGGGCGTTGGCAGCTCAAACGTCAAGCGCTTCGTGTTGTGGTTCACCGTCTCCACTTTGCGCACTGTAAAGGCGCGGAACTCTTGAGGACTCAGCGCGACTTTCGGCTGCTGCTGCGGGCCCTCACATAGCGCCGACGGGGAGCTGGACAAGGCGGACACGAGCACCGTCACGCTTGCCGTCGCGAGCGCACCGCACGGCAGGAACTCGGTGAAGCGCAGGACCATCGTCGACCACATATTCAGGTCACCAGGCGGTCGGGTTGTGGCCGGACGCGCGGTTCGATCCTCCGAGGAGGTGATTGGCTGAATTGACGGGAAAGGCTTTCATCCAATCATCAGCGATGGATAGCACGCGCGAGCGCTTGTGGTGTACTTCTAGCGATCGGATTGGCTAAAAGGTGCGTGCGTCGCCGTCACGGCACCTTGCGCGATTACTATGGCCATGAGCACCGAGCGACTCGAGGCGTGGCAGCGCTTGCCGTGCACGTCCTGTCAGCGCAGCTACAAGTTCTACTGTCCCAAGTGCAACATACCATTGGGTGCTCCAGAAGACGTGACTGTGCCTGCTCTTACGCTGCCGCTGCAGGTGCACGTATGGTTTCAAGATAAGATCAAAAAGAGTACAGCACCTCACGCCAAGGTGCTGGCGCCACAGGACGTAGAGATTCTGCCATATCCAGTCGCGAAAGATCTAGCAGATCGACTACAGTATACGCGTGAGAGCGCTGTGGTGGTGTACCCATCGTTTGCGGCTGAGACGCTGGATGAGATGAGTACCGAGGAGCTCCAAGCCATTCGCACGCTTATCTTTATTGACTGTCCATGGCAGAAAGCCCCCGTGATCATGACAGATGATGCCATCGCGCATTTGCGACATGTGAAGCTTGCTCGCCCGCCACAAGAGAGCAACTTTTGGCGCTACCACAAAGCAGGAGCCGGTTGCGTCTCTACAATCGAAGGTGAGCACCTTGAGCACAAGACGAAAGCAGCTGTGCAGTGTTGTATCGTGGCAGTTCTTTACTCACTCGTATGTTTAATCGACGTTGATGCAGCGATTCATCTCATGCTGGAGGAGTACACTGCAGCAGCAAAAACGAGATCGATGTCCTTGAGGGAGGGCTCGGAAATCACGCAGTTGTCGGACTTGCTCTTCTTTTTCAAGCTGCAGTTCACGCGCATTGTCGAGCACTGCGAGAAGGAAACAGACGTCGAGCGCAAACCACCGATGGACGCCGACGAGAAGGAGCGTCGTCGCCTGATGTACAGTCAGAAAGAACAAGGCAAGAAACGGCGGCTGGAGAACAAGCTACAAACGTGGCACGCACGCTCGCTCGCGATTCAGTCGGGCGAAAGTCCGCCCGTCACGACGCAAAGCAAGCGCCATCGCCGATGCTACAACTGCAAGAAGGACGACCATCAATCGAAAGACTGCCCTCAGCCATGCCGCTACTGCAAGCAGCGCGGTCATTTTAGTGCCAACTGTAGTATGAAACAGGCAGCGTACGAGCGCGAGATGACGTTCCAGCAAACGCCACGTACAAGAGCGTTGTAACGTGCCGAGACACGACACTGTCGAACGCATGTGCGCAAGTGTTAGCCAGTGGAAGCAGTTTATGCCGCATGGTAGCCACTCTGAGATCCGGACATATTTTTGCGCATCGTTCAGCACCAATTGGCTTTTCTATGGCGAATCAAACATGTAGCCAAGGGACAAGATCTGCTCTGTGTTTTATTCAACATCACGGACGAATAAAACACATCCACGGGGGGGGGGTACGATGTGGTACACACATACACCGACCGGCACGGCCTCAAACCGCGCGAGGCGTCATGGTCGACAGCTTCACGCGGTTCCTGCCGGGCCTGCGCAGCAGCAACAGCAGCACCCGGCACCGCGCAGCGCAGAGCTTGCGTCTGTACATCGAGTCCGAGTCTCGCGACCTGTCGCATGGACTCTATATGAAGTGGGTCACGGACATTAGCGCGCGTCTGCTGCAACTGTGCAACGCGAACGAGAGCGCCGATCGGATGGGCGGTATTGCAGCCATGGACGAGCTCGTGGAGCTCTTCATCGCCGAGCGCAACGACCAGACGATCATTGAGTTTGCCCACTCGCTCACGAGGGTGTTTGAGAAGATCCCGAGCGCTGACCCGCCCATGCTGCGCGTTGCCGCGAAGGCCCTGGGCCACATTGTGTCAACGGGCGGGACGAGTCTCATTGAGTTTGTCGAAGATTACCACGTCAAGCCCGCGCTCGAGTGGCTCAAGAACGAGACGTTCCACGTGCGCCGACACGCTGCCGTCATGATCCTCAAGGAGCTGTCGATCAACGCGCCGTCAACGTCGTTTCGGTACATGGACAAGTACTTTGACTTTATCTGGAGTGCCTTTTGGGACTCGAAAGTTGTCGTGCGTGTGAGTGCGAGTGAGTCGTTGCAGTCGTGCTTGATGCTCATTCAGCAGCGCGAATCGAACCGCAAGACGTCGTGGTACAACCGCGCGCTCGATGAAGCGGAGGGAGCATTCAAGCGCAATAGCTCCGAAGCGACACATGGTGCACTGCTCATACTGAACGAGCTGCTGCGCAATACGGGGGACTTTATGCACTCGCACTACGCGCGTGCTTGTCGACTGGTGTTCAGTCACCAAGACCACAAAAGCGCGACTGTGCGTTCTGCTGTGATCAATCTCTTTCCGCGTCTCGCCAAGTTTAACACGTCGGTGTTTGTGGAAAAGTGCTACCGGCCGTGCATGAACCATCTGCTTGAGGTGCTTTTCTCGGCAACAACGACGACGCGTCCTGATGCGCTGCTTTCGATTGGAAAGCTGTCGTTGGCGATTGGACCGTTGTTAGCAAGAGACGAGCAGGCACTGATGGCGGTGATGAATGGAATCAAGAGCGGACTGCAAGTGCGCAAAAAAGACTATGATACACACCGAGAGGCACTTGCGTGTCTGCGCATGCTGGCAGAGACTGTGGGGCCTGCGCTTATTCGGGTCGACTTAGAGTCCATGGTGGGGCCGCTTTTCCAGAATGACTTGGATTCATCGCTGGTCGAGACATTAACAACCATTGCGAAGAGGATCTTGCCCATGAAGCCCGTTATCCAGCAAAAGTTGTTTGAAAGGTTAAGCTCGATTCTACGTTCGAGACAAAACGAGACTACCGGGTCAACCACAACTCCCACCAGTAGGCGGCTCAAGACAACCTCTATTTCCGTGACAGGTGGAATGCTGTCTAACCTGTTTCTTTCTGCGACGGGGTCAAAGACCAATGGAGCATCCGAAAGTGGTGCCACATCAACCGACGTGTCATCAGCGATTGCAATGCAAGCGCTTGCGCTAGAGACATTGGCCAACTTCGACTTCCAGGGCAACCGGCTCATCCCGATCATGTCATTCGTCCACGAAACAGTGGTCAAATTCCTTGACCATGAAGTTGCTACCATTCGTAAGAGTGCAGCACTCACGTGCTGTAAACTACTTCTACCATCAATCGAAGACCGCAGTGGTGGTGCAACAATGACATCGGAAGATTTTGCTCGCCCTGTCACGTCAGTGCTAGAGCGCTTGTTAACAGTAGGTATTGCTGATACGGAGGCAAGTATTCGTCTGCGTGTTTTGGCATCGCTGGATTCACGTTTCGATCCGTTGCTGGCTCTAAACGACAACTTGCGATGCCTTTTCATTGCGTTGAACGACGAGGTGTTCAGCATTCGTCAAACGGCCATGAGTACGCTTGGGAGACTGACGCACCACAATCCGTCCACCGTGTTGCCATCTCTCCGTCAAACGTTGGTGCAGCTTTTGGCTGAACTGGAGTTTAGTGGGGACTCACGAGGCAAGGAAGAGGGTGCGCTTTTGATTGGTTGCTTGTTGCGGTCAGCGTCACAGCTAGCTCAGCCGTATGTTCTCCCTATTCTCCGCGTTCTGATGAAGAATTTGCGTGAAGACTCCGAACGCCGTAGCCACAATCGAAGCACGGTTAGTGTAAGCAAAGCTATTTTGGCAACCTTGGGTGACTTAGCGGAAGTTGGAGCACAAGAACTGACGCCGTATCTCGGCCAGCTGTTGCCAGATGTTATTGATGAGATGCGGGACTCTAGCAATCCACAAATCTTGCAAGTCGCTATCAAAACTCTCGGCCAGTTGGTGTCATCGACCGGCTATGTAGTACTGCCTTACCACGAGTACCCGGAGCTACTGGACTTGCTCTGCCAAGCGTTGCAAAAGTCAGGTGATGCTTTCGAATCGTTACGGGTCGAAGCGGGGCGTACAATTGGTGTCTTGGGTGCGCTGGATCCGTATAATCTTCGTTTGTTCCACTTGCAACTGCAAGGTAAGCTCACGGATGCAAAGAAGAAAGAGTTTTGCTCCAGTGCTTTTGCTGTCGGCGCCGGTGGAGTGTTCAGTCTGATGGTCAACGCAGATCCATCCGAAGCACTGACAAGTAACGGATTTGGCGCCGGACCTACGGAGGCTCATATTGGCATTCGTATTGGCAAACGAATTGGCGGACATGGGCTGCTAGATGACGGCGCTGAGGAAGCTGCTCTTCATCTCGAAGAATCTCTGTTTTTGACGCCGACACGAAAGGTGGCCAAGAATGACAAGCAAGTCAGTGGAAAACTGAGCAACATCATCTTGGAGATTCCACCTAATGATCTGTTGCCATCTATGATCTCCGACTCGTTCCAGTATTTCCCTTCAGTGGCGATCAACGCGTTGATTCGCATACTGCTCGAACCACGTAACTCGGTGCACTACCAGGGCACTTTTATGGCTATCATGTACATTTGCAAAAGCCAGCGGAAACGTGTGGGACAACACTTGGACAAGATCATTCCAGCGTTTCTCTACACTTTGGAGAAAGTAAACCGTTCACTGCGCAAATTTCTCTTCGAGCAGCTCTGTGACCTGGTACGAATTGTCGAGGAGCAGATTCAGCCCCACTTGGACCACGTAGCACTGCTTTCAATCGTCAACAGCTATTGGGACGAACATCTCGAAGAGGTCCTCAACTTGGTCAAGAATCTGGCAAACTCGCTTGGCGAGAAGTTTCGTGTTTACTTGCCTGATCTCGTTCCTCAGATGTTGCGCGTGATTCGGACGGAGCGTGACAACACCGCCCGGCCACGGACACTATTGGTGCTGAAAACTGCCGTGTCTCTTGGACGCTTGCTGGATGGATATCTTCACTTGATTATTCCAGCACTCGTGGCGCTCATTCAGAGCGATGCGGATGTGAATGCGAGGAAGCAAGGTCTGGGCTCACTCGGATCGCTTGTGAAGAAGCTAAATGTAAGCGTGTATGCGTCGAAGATTATCCACATGCTTGCGCGTGTGATCTCGTCTCAGCCGGAGATGGTGTATCTGGCTATGGATTGTCTTTGCTGCATGGTCTACACGATGGGCGACGACTATGCAATCTTTGTTCCGATTATCAGCCAGGTCCTAGGTCGCAACACATCGCGTTCGAACGACATATTCGATCGCTACGATCTCCTCGTGTCGAAGATCTTGAAGTACCAGCCGTTGCCCGTGGCATCATGGGCGACGGATCCACTTAAATCACGTGCCGATGCTTCGAGTGATCGCAAGGAATCGAATTTGTCTGCCCAAGACGAAACGAAAAGCTTACCATGCGACCAAAAAAACTTGATGAAGGCATGGGAAGCGTCACAGCGGTCCACGAAGGAGGACTGGAACGAGTGGATTCTTGCTTTCTCGGTGGAATTGCTCCGAGAGTCACCGTCACCTGTCCTACGAGCTTGCAAAGAGCTGGCTTCGGTGTACCAGCCTTTGGCACGAGAGCTGTTCAACGCATCGTTCGTGAGTGTGTGGCCTCACCTGTCATCGTCGACTCAGGACAACTTGATTCGAGCTCTGGAGTCAGCCTTCCAATCGCCCCATTTGCCATCTGAGATCCTGCAAACGCTGCTCAATCTTGCTGAGTTCATGGAGCATGATGATCAACCTTTGCCGATCGATATTCGGTTGCTTGGATCATTGGCTGACAAATGCCATTCTTTTGCCAAGGCTCTTCACTACAAAGAGCTTGAGTTCAACACCAATCCAAGCACCGATGGGATCCAGGCACTCATCAGTATCAACTCGAAGCTGAACCAGCCGGAGGCGGCGCGCGGTATTCTGAAATATGCCTTGGAAAAGCTGGCGGGTATCGAAGTGAAGGCTTCGTGGCACGAAAAGCTTTTGCGCTGGGACGACGCGTTAGCAACACACGACCGTGTACTGCAAGAACAGCCGAATAATGTGGAGTCTATCTTTGGCAAGATGCGTTGCCTGTGGGCAATTGGCGAGTGGCGTAAGCTGAATGACCACGTCCAAGAGACATGGTCCAAGATTTACGGCGAGAGTCAAGACTTGAACGGTGAACACACAGATGGCGAAACGTTGCTGGATGTGCCTCCGGCTTTGAAAAAAGAGTTATGCAGTAGTGGCGCTCGGGTGGCCTTTTCGCTGCAGAACTGGGACTCGATTCCGAAGTACATCAACTCGGACATGGATGCTACAGAGTCGCATCTGTTCAAAGCAGTTGTGTCGATACGACGTATGGAGCTGGATGAAGCCATGGGCTCCATTGCTGATTGCCGAAAAGAGATGGATCCGACGTTGCGTTCCCTGGTGAGCGAGAGTTATGCGCGAGCGTATCTTCCATCTATTGTAAATTTGCAGATGCTGACGGAGTTGGAGGAGATAGTCGCCTATCTGAAAACATTCGCTTGCAGGAACAACGGTGAGCTTACGCTTTTGTCAGCGCCTGTGTCATCGTCATCAATGTCTGCGACCGCATCACGTCGCAAACAAAGCATCAGTAGTCTTAACTTTGTGTCCTCGGCGCCGTCAACATCGTATGGACATGAGAAACAAGTAGCACTGAAGAAACTGCAAACGATCTGGACTAGACGAATGCTAGGAGTGGAGCGCAGCATCGAAGTGTGGCAGAGCCTCATGTTGGTGCGATCGCTGGTGTTTGATCCCAAGGAAGACGTTGATATCTGGCTGAAGTATGCACGTTTGTGCTTGAAGTCGGGGCACATCAACCTCGCTGCTAGCGCTCTATGGCGCGTTGGCGCACAACCGTTTATTCGCAGTGTCGAACGAGACCCCTACGCACCGATCCCGATCAACCTCGGTGGCAACGTCGGAGCCAGTCAAGGTTTTGCGAATGGGCTACTAAGTCTAGCGGATAGCACGGCGCAGGACCCGCGTGTGGCGTTTAGCTTTTTGCGACATTTGTGGGCAGAAAACCGCGAAGACGTGGCTCTGAAGCAAATGGATTACTTCATCGAGGCTCTGGAGCAGCACGGAGATCCAGCAAATGAAGATATGCGCAGGCTGCGTGTTCAAGTGTACATCCAACTCGGCGAATGGCAAATGTCCCTGTCAGAGCCGCACAAGCAAGCTGATGGAGCGTTCGACCATGTCCTCGAGTGTCTGGAGACCGCGACAAAGTTGGACCCGACCAATGATCGCGCGTGGCACGAGTGGGCCCTCATGAACTTCAGGGCACTTGAAGCTACCATGAAGGAATTTGGCCAAGGAGACCCAAAGCGTTATGCTGTTCGGGCCATCCAGGGTTTCTTCCGGTCAATCTCGTTCGGTCACACGAGTTATGATGTGACGAAAGACGTTTTGCGCTTGCTGACACTCTGGTTCGCGCAGGGCAATCGTAGCGACGTCCACATAGCGATGGTCGAGGGTTTCCACGAGGCGTCTATTGATACGTGGTTGGATGTCATTCCGCAGCTTATTGCGCGTATTGACACGCCGAACCCGAAAACGAGCGAGCTACTGCATGATCTGCTCTCCCGAATCGGACAGGCACATCCTCAGGCGCTAATTTACCCTATCACTGTGGCGTCGAAGGCTTTACACCCTACTCGAAAGCTTGCGGCCGAAGGAATTCTTGCTGCTGTGCGCCGACATAGCTCTCAGCTCGTGTACGAGGCTGATATGGTGTCGCGCGAGCTCATTCGTGTGGCCATCTTGTGGAATGAGTTGTGGCACGGTGCTCTCGAAGAAGCGTCGAAGCACTTCTTCAATAATCGCGATGTGACTGCTATGATAGCTGAGCTAGCTCCACTTCACGAGCTGATGGATCAAATTGGCACGGAGGAAACACCCACACTGCGTGAGGTAGCGTTCTACCAAGCGTTTGCGCGAGACCTCAAGTACGCGAAGGAATGGACAAACGTGTACGAGCGCACAAAGAGCCTGGACGATTTGAATCAAGCGTGGGATATCTATTACAGTGTTTTCTCCAAGATCCGCAAGCAGCTCGCAAACCTTTCTGCGCTGGAACTGGCCAACGTCGGACCGAAGTTGCTGTCAGTGCGCAATCTCGTGCTTGCGGTACCAGGCACGTACAAGGCTGGTGCCCCGATTGTCCGTATCCAGTCCTTCGATACTAAAGTCACAGTACTCACGTCGAAGCAGCGACCGAGAAAGGTGTCGATCAACGGAAGCGATGGGAAAGCGTACCCGTTCCTGCTCAAAGGACACGAGGACTTGCGCCAGGATGAGCGGGTGATGCAGCTCTTTGGCGTGATCAACACACTGCTGGCCAACGACAGCGACACCAGCAAACGCAACTTGGCTATTCAGCGGTACTCGGTGCTGCCATTGTCCCACACGAGCGGCTTGATCGGATGGGTGCCCAACTGTGACACCTTGCACCAGCTTATCCGCGACTACCGTGAGGCGCGTAAGATCCAGCTGAACGTCGAGCACCGTCTGATGGTGCAGATGGCCCCAGACTACGACAAGCTGCCGCTCATGCAGAAGGTTGAGGCATTCAAATATGCACTAGGCGAGACGACGGGTCAAGATCTCTATCGCGTGTTGTGGCTGAAGAGCCAAGACTCAGAAGTATGGCTCGACCGCCGCCGAAACTTCACGCGCTCGCTAGCTGTCATGTCGATGGCTGGGTACATCCTTGGTCTCGGTGATCGTCACCCGAGCAATCTTATGCTCGATCGTGTGTCCGGCAAACTCGTTCACATCGACTTTGGTGACTGCTTTGAAGTAGCGATGGAGCGCGACAAGTACCCGGAGAAAATCCCATTCCGACTGACACGCATGCTTACGCAGGCAATGGAGGTTAGTGGCATCGAAGGCAATTTCCGGTACACATGCGAAGCATCGATGCGCGTACTTCGTGACAACCGCGACTCGCTTATGGCAGTGCTGGAGGCTTTCGTGTACGACCCTCTCATCAATTGGCGTTTGCTCAAGAAAGACACTGTGCCGTCCCACGCGCAGCCTGAGGATGATAGTGCAGGCGGTGCTGAGCCGGGAGGAGGCACTGAAGGCGGCGCGAACGCTAGCGGTGGTGAGAGTTCCATGCGTGTCAGGCGTGAAAGCGAAACTGATGTCGACGACGATGGCGATGAGGAAGGTGATGCTGCAAACGATGGGACTTTGGACGAGGACAAGCTGCTGGAGAATAGTGTGAAGAGCTCGACGTCATCGACCACCGTGACTCCTAGGAGGCGCCGCAACTCTTCATCGGAGGCCGCAATGCTGGGCTTTAACATGGACATGCTCGACTCAGCAATGGCGCGCAACTCGATGGCAGAAGGGCAGCGCGACAACTTCGGCACGTCGTTCGTGGCAGCTGCACACCCGCAATTGAACGAGAAAGCATTGAGCGTCATCGAGCGCGTCAAGAAAAAACTCGCTGGTCGCGACTTTGACGACGGAAGCAAAGTGCTGACGGTCGACGCACAAGTGGATCGGCTGATCCATCAAGCCACGTCGCACGAGAACTTGTGCCAGCTCTACTACGGTTGGTGTCCATTCTGGTAGTAGCAGTCTGTCTGTCACGCTCTGCATGTCCGGTTTGCCTCGACTTGTATACCACGCATGCCTACACGTATACCGCATCTTTGTACCGCTGAACTGAGTGCACCACACTAATTTCGACCGCTACCAAGTGGCGTGTTTTTCTGTCCACGTTTGACTGGCCCGCACGCCCGTCGTGTTCACTTGACGCTACGAGGACATGGCGACTGCAGGCAAAGGCACGAAGCGCAAGGCCGGTCCCGGCGGCGCTGGCGGCAACAAGAAGAAACCGAGTAAGACGCAGAGCAAGACGCAGAGCAAGTTTCAAGCTGGTCGCAAGAGTGCAGGTGCTGGACTGAAGAACAGCAGCAGCAGCAAGAAGAAGAGCAGCTCGAAGAAGCCGCAGCCATCCATTGGGCAGCCCACGCCGAAGCTACAGGAAGAAGAAGAGGTCGAGATTGGCGAAGAAGATGTGGCTTTCTACGAGTCCAATACGGAGTTCACGACGTTTTTGGCGAATATGGACACCAAGGGGTTGAGCAAACCAGTGCTCACGAAAGGCGACGAGAAGCTCAAGTCGGTCAAGGCAACAAGAAACAAGGTGAGCTGTGAGCTGAAGGATGAGGACATGCCGCTCGAAAAGCTCGAGGCACATCCACGCAAAGCCGCGTGGACGACAGACAAGCAGGAGGTGTTGAAGGACAAGCTGCCGGTCAAGTTTATGGATGGCAGCGTGCGTGCCAACCAACTGATGGTGGAGAGGGAGACAGAGACGGAGGTGGAGACTGCGCCGGTTTTGAACGAAAAGGATGAAGGAGAGGATGATGATGAAGTAGGTGATGAGAATGAGGAAGATGAGAAGGACGAGATGGACTCGGACGTGTCGGACATGGAGTTCGAAGAGATCATGGACGCTTCAGCTGCAGTACGTAGAGAAACGCCACTGTCGGGGGTAGATCTGAAGCGCCAACGTGGGGTTCGACTACTGACGAAGAAAGTGGAAATCGCGCAGCTGTGTGAGAGTATCCTCGAGAACCCAGAAGAGTCGTTTAAGAAGGACAAGGATCATCCCCAGCAGCTCAGCAAGATCCAGCAGCTGCAAGCGTTGTGCCACGACCCAGATGTGACGGTGCAGCGTCTCAGCTTGATGTCGCGGTTGTCTGTGTTCCTCGACATTCTACCAGACTACAGGATTCGCCTTCAAAGCAACGGTGCTGGTGCAGAGGAAAAGAGCAAGCAGAACCACGGACGTCCTATGAAGAAGAAGGTGCAGCAGATGCAAGATTACGAGGCTTCACTGCTCAGCAACTACCAGCAGTTTCTCAAGCACTGTGCTGGGCTCGTTGTCAAGGGGCTGAAAGGGAAGCATCCGGCGCAGCTTGCTAGTATGACAGTGCTCGATCGACGCAACATGTTGCTGGCCGAGACGGGTGCTCGTTGTTTGGCACAGTTACTGGAGAAGAAGTACGCGTTTAACTTCCACCTCAACCTCGTGATCGCACTAGTGCCAATGGCCGACTCACAGTTCAAGAACATTCGTGAGCAGGCTTGCGCGTCTTTCGAAAGCGTCTTCAAGAGCGACAAAACGTGTGTTTTCTCGTATGAGATTGTGCAGCAGATATCCAGCTATGTGAAACAAAAGCAGCACCGCGTGCAGCCCTACATCATTCGGACGCTGCTGGTCATGCCGCTGGAAGTCACTATGGAACAGGGCGAAGCAGCTCGCAAGAAAGCAAAGTCTGACCGCAAGAAACGTCGTCGTCAGCAGGCAGATGGCGATACTGTTGCTGCCGGTCTCAAGGAAGCTGAAGCTGTTGTGGACCGAGCAGAGCGCGAGAAGACGCAAGCTGACATTTTGCACGAGCTCGTGCTCATCTACTTTCGCATCCTGAAGCAAGCGACCTACTCGCAGGCATTACCTGCCGTGCTCGAGGGACTTGCGAAGTACGCGTTCTTGATCAACCTCGACATCATGATTGACTTGCTGAAGGTGCTCAAGGTCCTGCTGCGCGAAGAAGATGTGCTGCCACTTCCTGCGGCACTACAGGCTGTGCTAACGGGCGTGCGTGCACTTCAGGGCCCTGGCGGACAGGAGCTCATGATTGACGAGAAAGAGTTTGTGGACATTCTCTATCGTCTGCTGTATCGGTTTGCTGATGGCGAGGCGAGCTCAGACGCGTCCTGCTTTCCGACGCTGCTGCAGTGTGTAGAAGCAGTGTTCTTGCGCCGGAAAGAGATTGTCGTGGAGCGTGTGGCGTCGTTTGTGAAGCGACTGCTGCTTGTGGCCCAACACCTCCCCCCGCATCAGGCGTTGGCCACGTTGTCTCTGCTTCGGGCCCTCTTCCATCGCTACGCCAAGTTGCAGCAGCTCTTGGAGTCAGACACGGATCGAGTTGCATCGGGCGAGTACCGGGCAGACGTTGGCGACCCCGACTTTGCGAACCCGTTCTCAAGTGCGTGCTGGGAGCTGGCGTTGCTGGCCCGCCATGCCCACCCGAAGCTGTCTACGTACGCGCTCGGAACTGCTCAGATGGCGCCAACGCTTCCGAATGAACACGCCCGGGCGCTCATGGATGCATTCGACCCGTATGCCGGTGCAACGTTTGCGTTCAAGCCAAAGGTGCCGGTGCCGCCCAGCAACCCGCTGCACAAGAAGATGGCTAGTGAAGCCAACAAGAACGACTCGCGCAAAAAGAGCCGTCAGCGCCGGGCGCGACAGTTTTTCGTGCGGGATCCGCTAGCGAACCTGGACGAGCAGTACTGCAAGACCACCGCCTCGCTGTTCTTCCAGCAGTGCCTCGAACTGGACCAGCAGCGCACGGACAGCGACTTGCTCGTGTTCAAGAAGTAACACCAACAGCAACCGCCGTGGCACGCGCTCGACTCGACCCGACCCAACCTGATGATAGATGCAGTACAACAACCACAGGAACGGCTCTCGACACAAGTCGGTAGATATCAATAGTGTCACGTACGTACGTACACGGTGCTTTGTGGTGTGTTGGAAGTCGTGTGTGTGTGTGTGTGCTTTCCTGCTGCCGCTTCTAGAACGGGCTATTGTATCGACGGTGCGCAGCTGTCGGGTCCCGAGCTGCCGTCGTCGAGTACATGCTGAACGCGCCAGTGTTTGTCGCCTCGCTGCGTTGCGAGAAGCCCACGTGCGGGTCGTCATAGTGATCCACTGGCATCGTACTGGCGGTCAGCCGCCGGTCCTTTGGTCGGTGCGCGAGCTGCACGTTCCGCCACAGCACGCGCGTCATACCCAGTCCAACGAGCGCTGCCGCAATGCAAACGACGCTGCCGACCAGCACCACGTGCGTCCACTTCTCGACGAGGTCGTAAAACCCGCGGCGACACGCGAGGAACGGCGCCGTGCCGTCTATTGCATCGGCGCCAGTGGCTGTGGCGTTGTTGAGCAGGAAGCGGCCGCACCAGAGCTCGTTCGCGCTGGTCCGGGGACACGACGCCTCGGCCCAGTCCCGCACCATCGCATACTCGGCGGCCGCTGCGGCCATCGACGTGCACACGGCACAGACGGGGCCGATGGCCGGGAGCGTCACGGCGGCGCAGACGTTGGTGAAGTTGGTCGTCGAGTCGAGAAAGTGGTCGGCGAGCGACACGTTGAACATGTCGAGCACCGTGTGCACCGTCGCGTCGTAGCAGTAGTGCGGCACCTGCGCGTGGCAGTAGAGCCGACTAAAGTGCGCGCCAAGCGACGCTTCTTTGGCCGTGACGGGGTACGCCTGCGCCTGCCACTCGGTGGCCGTCGACTGGGCCACGTGGCCGCCGACGGCCATCACGCCAAAGAGCACGAGCGTGAGCGCGAGCACGAGCGCGTAGACCGTGAGCAAGAGCTTCTGCTGGAGCAGCGCCCCGAAGCACCCGAGCGACGAGAGCGCCATGACGAGCGCGCCCAGCACGAGCAGAAACACGAGCGTCGACGGACCGATCCACGCGTAGTCGCCGTCGCCAAAGGCCTCGAGCCAGCCCGACGACGTCACGCGGTGGCTAAAGTACACGAGGAGACACCCGGCGACGAGGAACGCCATGTTGAGGAGCAGGAGCAGCACTTTGGCCACGTGGCCGAGACTGCCGACGTCCGGCAGGCCGTCCGTCAGGCCGCGTGGTCGTCGGTCTTGTGCGTCCATGAGAGGCGAAGGCGTTACCACCGACTCCGAGTCAATCGACTGAGCACTTGGTCAACCAAACCGTCCGGTTGGGTGATCAGTTTGGTTTGGTTTGGTGAGTCGGTTTGGTTTGGTTTGGTTGGGTTGGGTTGGGTTGGGTTGTGTTTGTGGGGGGGGTATGTGACACATAGAGAGGTATGTGCGTGTGTGTGTGTGTGTTTGTTATTGAGCTCGAAGGACGACGGGCAGCGGTTTGTGGACTGGCTGTCTACGTAGGAAGAGCGAGCGCGAGAAGAAAAGAGCCGACAACGACACGACGGCGGTGAACTTCGCGTTTGTAAAGGTCTCTCTCCCCTCACGAGGAGTTCGTCTGCCCGCTTTGTTCTTTCGCGGATAGCAGGCACGCCCGACGTTGGGTGATGGCGGCAAACACAGACTTGGCGCAAGGGGTTGAGTACACACACATCCGTCAGGCTGCAACGAGGGGCAGATCGACAGCGACTCGGAATGTTTTGTGCGCGAGTTCGGCGGTCGGGTCTGTCGAGAACGCATGTTAAGTGGACGTGGCAAAACGCACTGATGAGCCTAATCTGAGAGAAGACGAAGTGAGCGAGAAAGATATGCACGACTCGCAGCGACTCGAATCGCTTGACTGAAGCTTTCGTGGACTGGAAGAAGCATGATGAGCGTACTTGCGACCCTGGCTCTTGATGGCCAGTTGGCTGCGGGTTCTTGTTGAAGACACCACGTTATCCGCTCACTGGTTTGCTCCTGTTAACGTGATATCCTGTCAACCACGTCGCGATCGTCGAACACACACTGCTTTCCTTGACCTCGCCCATGAGGAGATTCACTCTCGATGTCCTCTTGTCTTCCTGACCAGGAAGTGACTTACACTTCGTCTATCGCTCGCATGGAACGGCGCCCGTTGTCGTCAGGGTCCCAAATCATCTGTGCTCTTGACCCTCTTCCAAGTCCATGACGAGCTCGCCACGTTGCGTGCTTGTAATGTTCTCTGCCCCTTGCGCAGCACTTGCGGCACTTCCAATCCATCAATGGTTTGGTCCACCTCGCGCACTCCTGAGCGAATTCCCGTCAAATCGTTTACCCGCGATCAGACCTGGACCAGCCAAAGCTGACGTGGATATCCTCAATGCCATGCACCCCGTCAAGAACGGGTACTACACTGATCGTTTCCGCACACATTGTTGTGATGCTCGACGAAGCGAAGAAGAGTACAGACGTTGCTGAACAGACGCTCGCAACAATGGATCTAAACGACGCGTAAATAGATCGGGATCGTGCAGGCGTCAACCGGATGAAGAAACTGGAAGGTGACCAACCAGCTTTCACACGTTTGCCCCCGCAATTATGAAAGCGGGTACATCAAACAAGAGCGTCGACCAAAGTGACGATGCTGCTTGTGCGCTCTCTGGATACGCGACTCGGAGATACTGCAAGCGTGGCAGCTATGCATGACCTAATGTAACGAGGACACTTGAGTTCCGAGAACTGTTCCTCGAGCACTGAACGGATTGGAGAGATGCATCACGCTCTACATCATACGAAGCGGTTTTTACCACTACGTCCATAGCGCCGTTAGCACGACCACAGCCGTTCTCCTTCCGACCGCACACCTGCTTCTCCCATGTGGTTTTGGAGTGAAGAGAATGGGTGAGTAACGAGCCATATGGATCTGTCGGAAGACTGGACTTACCAATGTGTCGATCCGCATTGTCAGACCGAATCGCATGAGCAAGTCTTCCTGTCGTTTAGTACTGATAGCGTGCATGAAGTTTCTGTTCTACCCATAAGCGCGATCGATTGATCGACGAAGTCAAAGTGAATCGTGTGCACTTCAGCATCAGCTACAACGCGAACGAAATAGTGCTCAATCGAGAACACATCGACGACCAGCACTGTACTGGCTTCGACACCGACCACCAACTACCCGCCAGCATACGACGTGATACGCGCAAGTTGCCAGCATTCGATGACGTACCATTCACAGTCTCCCTCACACGACCAGAAGTCGTCAAAAAATTTGCTTGGTAGTGTGCACTATGACAGAGAGGAGAGATGTCCGGCATTCGACGTCAGCAGAGCCTCGACAATAAGCACATGCAAGAATGTCAGAATGACTTTGTAAGTCATCTACTAGCACGTGCGTTGAGCAGTCGTGAGAATTCGACACGAAGCTGTTCGTATTCCACGCCAACAGCATACCACGTTGTGGCTACACAAGACGCTTACTCACGACCCATGTCGAAAGGATTCACTCGGAGGATATGTACACTCGGGTCGTTTGACAACGTGAGAGTCGTCATGGCAAACTTAGCTTTCTCCCGGAACTTGCTGTCATTTCGTCAGACTGGTGCAAGGCAACCTCTTGCTACACCTGGTAGCACTTCGCGGTTCGTTCCGCAACAATGAAAACGTCCGCCAAAAGACCTGCAGACAAACAAGGTGTTTGCGCCGCATGCGTGGCTCTTCCTCTTCGATTGATAGCAGTGGCGGGCAGTTTAGTGAGGACTGATGATGTCGTTAAAACTATCGGACGACAGTGTTATCATGCGATGGATATGCACACAGCACCTACCGCGAAGCTCATGTTGTGTACATATGGAATGCGATAACGAAGATTACCTGGCCTGCGACACAACATGCACACTAGATGCACCTGCTGAGAGAACAAGACACGCAACAAGCTTTACATACTACAGCAGCAGCGGGTACGACTGTGTCCCAAGCGATTGCATCCGATACAGGCGAAACTGCGTAGGTTGCGCCGTGCCAAAGCCAATTGGTGAACGAGCAGAGGTATCTGCTTCTTGCGGGTGTCCTCACCGCTCTCAGTTTTGCTCAACGCTACGATGACTTGATCAGACGATCTACGCTGCGATGCAGAAGACGTGGCTTTGTCCATGCGGCTCGACAGACGACAAGAACCATTCTTTGCTTGCAGGATGACCTGCACCGACATCCAACGACTTGTTGCCGATCCACGAGCTTTCTTGAAGGTGCAAGTGCTACCAGAAGGCAAATGCAGACAGGAAAGGCTAGTAAAACGCTTAGCAATGGCGGCGAACTCTTATGGATACTGCTTACGAGGGACTGAGAGGTAGTGGCGTGGAAATAACTCCTTACGCATAAGCACACTCCAACGACCATTTTGACGGTGGCTCCTGCAGATACTGCAGGATGACCACGTACGTGGCAGACGTGGTGCCAGGTCTTTCGAGTATACCTTCCGTGCCGCACATCCGCAGCAACGGGCCAAGTCAACAACGTGCTTGTCATCCATTAAACAACGGATACAAATGTCGAACAGAAATCAATGGACTCCACGACCGTCGGCTCGCTGCACGAATACGGTCCCGTAGTCAAGAACCTGCAAAGCATGCAGCGAAATGCAACAGTACATGGCTTGCAAGCTATCAAGTTCATCACGTGCGCTTCGTCGTGAGCTTACTTTTGCAATTATTAGTCACCGCAGAGCTGCCCTTGAATGTGTTGCCACAACTTTTTGCGTCTGGGCATGTTCTTTCGTACGTCACAAACCACTCTAACGTTCCGTCATAGCGTGGTCCACGCTACTTAAGCAGCCCGTCGGCGCTGGCCTCCGACTTTTGCGTTTCTAAACTTACGCTTTTCGAAATGCCCTCGAACGACTCCATTACAAGCGCACATTTGTCTTCCAACTCCGTCATGCACTGCGGACTTCCCATGGTGCGTTCCTCAGAGCTTTGTTGGACAGCTACAGCGCGCTGTGGTACCCACCCCCACTTGTTCTCTATCTGATTCAATCTCTGCTTCTCAATGACTGTAGGAACTGCTGCACGGAGAATGGCCGTGTCAAAAGAAGATCGACCTGCTGACAAGGACCGTGACGGCGCACCAGCAACTGACTTCGCGTCTGCAGTCCATGACGCGCGACTTGCGTGGAGAGCGCTACTATCCCTTACAGGTGTGTGGCCGAGTACTTTGTGGGTGGTCTGCAAAAATGAGGATTTGTTGAATGGACATATGACATGTGCGACGTGTTGTGTCACTGTTGTGCGTGAAAAACCAGAGCGAGACCAAACAGCTGCGACTGCGGGTGTACCACACGTACGTCCCACCAGTTGCAGCCACTGCAACGTCACTGGCGATACCAGGAACATGGACGTTGAAGATCGAAGGGGTCGACGCTGTGGCTGGACATCCTACAGTTGTTGTGAGAGGATAAAAAGACACGAGCACGAGACGGTCGAACTGATGGAAAAGGACTGACGAACGATTGTGTGTCTTTCTGCAGAAATTCTCGAGCTACTTTCGTAAAGCGTCCATTGAACTCAACCCGCATCTGTACGCGGACCACGTGATCGAAGTGCGTTCCTGCATCTCGGCTGGCTGTGCTGTAGTTTCGACGTCGCTAACTAGTGCTCTTTTCGTGGGCAGTGGACGAGTTTGCAGAAGACAAGTCATGACGTCGACGGACTCGAGGTGACGAGGACCGGAAGCACGGCACATACAGTGAGGATCAAGCTGCTACCAGCCCATACTCTCGAGCGGTTTACGATCTCGCCTGTGCTGCAAACAGTCATTGGCCAGTACGTTGGCCCGGCCAAGGCGTACACGAAACAGGACATTGTGCTCGCAATGTGGGAATACATCAAGCTGCGCAATCTCATCAAAGAGGACGACTGCCGGATGGTTACATGTGACGACAAGTTGGCACAAGTACTGAATTGTGTGTCGCTGCCGTTCACGTCGATCATAGTCGCGCTCAAGCAGCATCTAACACCCGTCGATGCGATTGACCTCGAGTACACACTGAACCTCTCGACGGCATGCGAATCCGAGTTGCTGGAAGAGCAGTTCTTTGACGTGTCTGTTGCTGCAACGTCCGAAGTAGACAGGGCTCGAGTGCGCGCTCTTAAAGAATATGAGGATCTGCAACAAGACCAGAACCAGGAACTGGCGCTGCTGAAGGAACAAGAGTTGGATATTTTGGAGCGTTTGCAAATGTACGCGCGGAAGCGGGAGTGGATGTCTCAGTTCGCTCGCGATCCGTGCGGGTTCATGGCAGACGTGAAGAAGTCCCAGCTGGCGGACGAAGAGGTTTGTAGCATTTCCATTTCGTTCCGCGCTTGCACGGGTTCTGACGTATTGACTGGTAACAACGTGCAGATTTTGACTGCCGAGACGCAACTAGATGAACTCACTATTCCCCATCCTCAGCAGTTCACGCAGCCATGGGTTCGTGGTGTGGTTGCAGAGCTGCTTACGACACGCCCCGCCAATTAAACACCTACGTTGATGCATTGTGCAACGCCGAGGGGACGAATACAATGTCGATAAAGCAATAATGTTAACCATGTAACGTGCAGAGAGTTGCAAGGAGTTTGTTGTTGCGTACTGCGTGTTCATGGTGAGAAAAACCTGCATCGGCATGACCATCACAAGTATAACAAAGCATTGCCATTCTAGTAGAAAGATGGGTTCTGAGCGGAGCAATATGTGTAGTAACTGCTAGAAAATCACGGTAAAACGCTAGCACCAACTGCATCTTTGCCTAGTCATTGAATAGCGAAAATGGGTACGTGTTGGGTGTGTGTAACCGTTCAGCACTCATTGCACGAGTACTGCTCCAGCTCGGCCATGACCGGCATCATCGTGAACGCTGACTCGTGAGACTGTGAGTAAGTATCCGACTGCTGCAGCATTCCGCTACTGACCCTGGGCAACCTGTCCGCTTGGATAACAGCATACAGCAGCAAGAGGAAATGATTACGTACCACGAACGTCATGTCTACCGTGTGTCGTCTTCAACAAGCCTGCGCAATACATCTCTTCCGACCGAGCTGCGTTGATGTACCCCGATGTATATTCCATTCTCAAGCGAGTTGAGCGCGACCTCGTCCAAAAGTCGCATCATTCCGTGCTTGCAGAAGCCGAGCTGCCACTGTTGTAAGATGCATCCGAAAGCTGGCGCAACGCCAAGTTGGGAACGAGTGAACAAGCTGAGATGCCACTTGGACGATACATGGTATAGCATGAGCTTGTCGGAACGGTAGCTACATTATTGAGTTGTCATTCGTCGACATATAGAAGGTCTAAAAGTTGGGCGCTAGCGCTTGTCATCGTAGTCGATTCGTCCTCTCCAGGGGCCGATGTGCTGGGAAGATGCTGGCCAAAAGCTGCTGCTGTATGCTTCCACCCGTGTAGCCAAAGGATGTATTCTTGCAGCATTCGTTTCTCTACAAGACAGGTCACAAAGCGCATATGGCATTGCGTGCCATGCTTTCTCCAAGACAGCGCAAAATGTTTGTGAGCGTCGAACTGCTGCACAAAATGGGAGCAGACAAGTGACGATGTAAGCTAAGACGAACTGGGAAGCTAAAGCTTGAGAGGCCACGTTTTCGACCGTTGGCGGCCAATTGAGTGAAGGATGTTGCAGATGTAACGCATCAACGCTACACGTTTCGCATTGTCACGAGCGTTTTGTCAGAAGTAGCGAAAGCGTCAAACAAGGGGAGGAGCTACAAATCAAAGTGCATTCCTCAGTGGCCGCTCCGATGACGGAACTGCAGAGCGCTACGTCAACATTCGAACGAAGCGTATCAGCATGCCAGTGTCAGCCGCGAAGCTCGATTCTCACTTGCCGAAGTGCAAAGGAGGGGAGTATCGATGGTGCTATAGACACGATCGACTTGCTGCGCATGCTATGCCACGTCTCTGCGCAAGTCTCCTCTCTGTTGTAGCATGCGCAACACTTTCCAGCACAATAATTCAGGCGTTGTGTCATGAGGTGGTGCATTCGAGGATGCCTTTCTTACATCAGCTGGCCGCCTTGTCGAATGCAGCTCTATGTATCGCACTCTTGTGACAACACTGCGCTTTCAATGGTGCCCGGGGATATTCGTCATCTGCCTCAAGCCGCTAACCACATTCGACTCGGCAGCGGCGACGGCAAAGCACTAAGGCTGTTGTCATTGATACTCGACAACCAGTATCGTCGACTCCACTGTTGTGGGTGCTACTCGCTTTCATCGATCGATAGGCTCTTCGCGTTGACAAACTGCCGATTCGTCTACGACCCAACGCGAAGAACTTGTAGCAAAAAAGAGCAACAGAAGCGGACAGTGCGTCTCGTGGGATCCATGAAGGCAGCTTAGCGTGGAAACAACCGGCGGGTGTCACGTGCCACGTGAGTTGCTACCTTCATCCTCGCTCGACAAGTACATGACGCCCTTTGCGGCCATGCGGCACCCAGTTGCTGATTTGTACCCTTGGTGAAGGACAAACGTTGCGACAAGAAGCACTAACGACCGAGCTCAATTTGCACGCAGCATCTCCACGTATCGCCTCGACTCTGCCCGCCGCGAGCCACTACTAATCTCCACGCTTCGGCTCGACTCGGATTTTCTTGCAGCTACTGACGAGAATCAGTGTCTGCGTACGACATTCCTTGTCCGACGTCTTTTACCGTTGTCATTGTCGAAGCTGTGCCGGCGGCGACGGGACTCGCCCGAGAGAATCGGTCATGAATGTGACGGCACAGAAGAGGAGGGTGTCCATGCCCATTCTCACCTACTTTGCATCTTCCACTTCCCACGGAGCTTGCTACATGCCGCCTCAAACGGTCGTTCTCTAGGACCCGAAAAATCGTGTCTGTGCCGACAGCTCGGATTGTGTCGCCCATCTGGATTCAAAGCGCCGTCGGCACATGACTCGGATGTGATGCGACACGTCCACGTGCAATCGTTGGCTCAAGAGGGCGCGAGGTGGGTCATAAACGCTTGAAAGCGACCGAGGCATTGCACTTTTTCCCTCGCGCGGTGTAAGCGTCATCTACCTCGCCATCGTTTTTTGCTGCCTGGTCGCCATGGCGGAAGAAAGCTGTTGTGGCTGCGCTTCGCTCGACCCGAACGATGAGTATGACACGGGGCTGCACGTCGGCTCGATCTTTATCATCTTTGCGGTGTCTGCTGCAGGCACCTTGCTGCCTGTCGTCTCGCAAAGGATCTCTTATTGCAATACCAACTCGATCATCATGGAAGCGATCGGTGCGTTTGCCTACGGCGTAGTCCTGGCCACGGGCCTTATCCACATGGTCAACGAAGGTATCGAGAAGTTGAGCAACGAGTGCCTCGGTCCCATTGTTGAAGACTACGGAAGCCTTGGCCTGGCCTTCGTCCTCATCACACTAGTGCTCATGCATTTCATCGACTGCGAGAGCTCCGTCTTCTTTGGCGCTCAAGGCTCGATGCTCCACGGTCACGGTCACGACCATGGGGCGCCCGTAACGCAAGAGGTGTTTACGACTCCGGACGGGCTCAATTACACTCCTGACGAGGAACTGTACCAAGTGAAGCCTCATGCCAGCAGTGCCCACGCCTCGACGACTCGCCGCAAAATGGCGACCTTCATCTTCGAGGCCGGCGTGCTCTTCCACTCGGTCATTATTGGCATCGACCTGGGCGTCACGACAGGATCCGAATTCAACACGTTGCTCGCAGCGCTGTGCTTTCACCAGTTCTTTGAGGGTATCGCTATCGGGACTGCTGCACTGAGCTCGCTCGAGAGCAAGACGAAGCTCTTCATGCTGAACTTTGCCTTCGCTATCACGACTCCTATCGGTCAAGTGATTGGCATTGCCATCCATAGTACGTACTCGGAAACCTCAACGACCGCTCTGTGGGTGCAGGGCACGCTCGACTGTGTCGCTGGCGGCATCTTACTCTACACGGGTCTAGTGGAGCTACTGACGCACAACATGACCACGAACAGCACGTTCTTGTCTCGATCGGCACTGCAGCGATTCACGATGTACCTCTTCCTATGGCTGGGTGCCGGCTTGATGGCACTCATCGGCAAGTGGGCGTAAGGCTCCGTGTGCACGGAATGGGCGTCCATGCGACGAGGTATTTAGCTGTTGGCGGTCGACGACGTATTACAAATAAAAAAAGTATCGTCACTCCTCTATCTAGTACCGCCTGGAGAGCACGGGATCAAGACGGGCGTTCTGTCGGTAAGTGCCTTGCATACGTCACATTACCGTACGTTCTATCGAGTAGTCTGCAAGCGTATCCACAACACGGGACACCGTTGTGTCTTCCGTGCATGCGCCAATATAGAGAAAGTTGCGTCTTGTCCACCTCGATGTACTATATGCTGTATCACCGGCTCTGCCTTATCCGACGGGTGCCTGATTTTTTGTAGCCATATAGGATCCACTGGACCAGGTGCGAGCATGCTGCTGGACGTGTCGGACTCGCGCGTGCCGACTTTGATCGTGGCTGTTGCGTGCTGGGCCGTGGTATGGACTCTCATGCTGAACTTCATCCCTGCAGGCGCTAAAAAGCGCAACCACATTATCTCACTGAACGCAACGCACGGTGTCGTGTCGACGATCTCCTCGACAATCACACTGTACTATGGACTGGACACGACGACCTCAGTGGCAGTCTCGCTGTCGTTCTTTCTCGTGGATCTCGCGGCTATGCTACGCGCAGACGGACCAACGAACCTGCTTTCTCTCCGGCTTGCACGGCTTATGGACTACGCCCACCACGCCTTTGGGTTGTACTGGGGCCTCAAGCTCTTTGTTAACGAAGCCACCATCTGCGATGCATCCTTCGGCAATGCCTACGTCTGGATACAGACGAACGAGGTGAGCACGGGCTTTTACAACTGGTTTCGACTCACGGACAGCCCGATGGCCGGCATACTGTTCGTCACCTCCTTCTTCTTGTTCCGAGTGGTGTTCAATACGGTCTACATCGTCCCGAGGGTCACGCGCCATTGCCAGGTGCTCTACGTCCTCGGCTGTTCGCCATTTTTCGTGCTGCAGTATGTCTGGTTCTACATGATCGTGCGAAAAATGATCTCGAGTCGGTCTGATCAGAACAACATGGTGGACAAAGGAAAGTAGCAACAGATCGAGGAGCTCATTGAAGCTGCCGTGATGCTAGTCGTATCAAGCTGGAGTATCATCAATGAACGGCCTTCCCAGAAGTATCAGCATAATCGACGTAGTACATCACATTACTCATGTTTTCTACTTTCGTGCACTAATTCGTACAGAATGGACCCGAGTGTTAACTTCCAGGAAGGTTTGGACATTTTCAGAGTCGTCAGTTTGCAGTGCGGTTGACAGAGTAGCCATGTACACAATTGCTACTGCAGCCTCTCCGTGTTACCTGCTTTCAATAGTTTTCACTGTTGGGACATCTTCCTGCTTGCTCGGGCTCAAACGCTTGGTTGCCGCGTGCCCAACTTTAGCCCAAAAGCATAAGAATGCGTGGAAGCGAGCGTCTTGGTGTGGCATCAATTTTTCACCAGCCCATTTTTCTCGCAGCACACACGTTGTACAGTGGCGCCTGATTTTCTCTGTAAGAGTCGCTTTGGCTAAGTTAGTCCCCGGATGGCTGACACCCTCATCCGGAATGTGTCTCGATAGCTGCAAAGTGCCCTACGTACCCTCTAACGCATCAGGAACTCGAACAAATGAGCCGAAATGACTTTCTTGTTGTAATGGGGTGAGCCCATTACATAAAATTGATACTGATGTATCCATTTTTGAGCATTATCTATTTGGATGATACTCAATCAACACCACTTCAGAAAAGGTGATGCTGGCGGAATATTACCTTCGAGGGTAATATTCTTGGGTGCTCCACTTTTGGTTGATGTAATTACATCAACCAGATTAACCACCAATCGCTGCTAGACGCGCGCAATGGGTGGTGGGCAAGAGACCCTCATAGGAGGTTGTAGTTTGATATGGTTAAATCAAGATAAAGATGATTTAGTAAGAGGTCTAAACTATTTTAATACAGTTCTACTTTTTCCTCAGACAGAGCGTTTGAGTTCCGTCTATTTCGCCGCTACCTCGCCACGTGTACGTGACGTCGGGAGCACGCTGCCTTGTGTATTAAGTTTACACAAGGTCTTGCCAGTCATCTGGCAAGAAGCGTGCCCCGCTACACCTGGTAGCACTTTGTAGTCCGTCCAGCGACCCAAACCAACTCATCCGACATGAACATGTCGGATGAGGAGAAGAGTTATCACGCCACGCTTGAAGGCTTTAACCATTTAGGTGATATTGAACGAAGGGCGGTAGAACAACTGAGTTCTACCGTAGGCGAAACCGCCGTTAGCGCCATGTAACAGTCCCTTGACAGGGACCAACAACATGCCGCTATAACCAACTTCAATTATATGAACATGTCGCCGAACGAGAGAAAGTAGACTTGATTTACCAGCAAATCTCCTAACAGGTAGAGCAGTTGAGAGAACTCAGTGCTCAACAGACAGAGCTGTTGAGACAGCAACAATTTAATGCTGCTGTGAACGAGACGACACACACGCGTCGTCCCGAACTCTTGAAGGTGGATGTCTCCAAGAACAGGAGAGTCGCGGAAGACTCCCTGCCACTAAGGTTCGTCGAACTCGACAGAGCCCTAAGGGCACGTCGTGTCGGAGATGAGCAAATGAAACTCACATTTGCTCAAACCCACTTGGCAGGGCGTGCCAAAACTTGGTCCCTGGGGCTCGAGAGTAGCGACCCAAATGTGTTTAGGTCGCTAGATGACTTCAAGTCCCGGCTCAGACAAACGTTTGAGCCGCCACGCGCTGAGTTCAGAGCTCGCTCAGAGCTCCTGAGACTCAAGCAGGGTAAGCGTGATGTGCACGCTTACGCCTAACATAAACGACTCCTTGCGAGTAGTATAACTGCTAACCCAGTCCATGAACACACGTTGATTACTGTGCTCATGCAAGGGCTCGCATACGGGCCCGGCAGGAGCCACCTGTTCCGCCTTGAGCTAAATACGCTGGAAGATGCGATCTCAGCCGCGGAACAGGAAGACTTTAGCATGAGACAGGCTCATGCTAGCTCAAACTCTTACCGTCCACCTAGACGACAAGAGATCGGGGGTCCAGAACCAATGGACCTCTGCTATGTTGAGAGCGAGAGACCTCGCTCTACAAACAACAAGCGAATGCAGAAGTGCAATCGCTGCCAGAAGTTGGGACACTAAGCTTACCAGTTTTTCCCTAGGACTTTCATCCTGCAGATCGTGCTTTGTATCACGATTTACGGTGGCCCCCGAGAAGACCTTAGTAGGGAGTTGGGCTTTTACCTCCAGATCGTGCGACCGATCTCTCTCTTGTATTTTCTTGTTGTCAAAGCCTTTCCTAGAACTTTGACGATCTGGAGATCCTTCATTTTCACGCGTCTGCGACGATCCCTGTGCCGCTGGCGCTTCTATCCCAGGTTCAGTCTTTATTTTGACTTCTTCTAATAGAGACTCATGATAAAATTCCGAGTCACCAGATCCGGGCACGCACACCAAAGTGGTGGAGTGTTGACCACAAATTACTGGTGACGCCGACTCTACACTGGCCTCCCGACGAACGACGAACGAAAGGGCACCCCTATTCCGTGTTCTGTATGTTCTTGCTCACCTTGTGTACCCGTCGGTGGGGCTAGTTGCTCTCCTCTTGGTGGACTTGAGATGAAGCTGAACTTGACCGTATTAAGGATAAGTGTTGATCGGGTGGAAATGCATCACCCGGTCGAATGTGGGAATGATCGAGTAGACATTCTTTACTAAATAGCGTGCACACTTATTCGCTCTCCCAGATTCTTCTTTGTCCAAAGTTTTTTCTTGATTCTTGAGCCTTCTGGCCACTTGAGCCGTCTGCGATCTTGAATTTGAACTGTTTGGTTCACTGCGTCCAATTGCAGTTGGGGGGGGGGGTAATGATTGAAATTCCGCATGACCACTCAATCTAAAGGCGAAGTTTGTATAGGCATGAGTCGTTCTCAGTTTAACGGGAGGCCAAAGTTCCTATCTGGGAGATGTCGACGCGTGTCCTACGTTGCATATTCCATTCTGTTTCATGTCAACCGGACAAGTCTAAGCCTATCAATACGTCTATCTGTTCGCTAGATCGCTGTCGCGTATCGAATGTCTATATGACTCACCTCCTGCATCATGTGTACCATAGAGGATACCAAATAGTGGATATCTAGGTAGTGAATCGCTAGGTAGTGGATCGCTTCGTGATGGATCGCTCGGGTCGTGGATCGCGGTATGTGATTCGCACCAATTATGTGTTCACACAGTCTAGCAATACGCACCCGAAATGGATTGCGGTCAATTTAGCCCCTACCATCATGCCAACGGGCCCATATTCGAGGTCGATCCTCCAAATCAAATTTGTATCGCATTTAAAGAGGGTACGCGATCCCAACTGTCCAACATTCTTTCTCAGCACTTTTCCACAGTGGTGACTAAAATGACTTAATGTGTACTTATTGACAGCCTGATACGCGTAGCTACTAGTTCCACCTGGTATAAATCAATACAAGCGAACCGCTACAATGTCATAAACACGTAGCATTAGTCGCTCTTAACTTATTTGGAGAACTTCTATCACCTGGCTCTACACCCACATCTTCTCATACTGCAGAGTCTATGTGTTTTGCTCATTTATATATAAGCGTGACAACGTCTCAGTCATCAAAAACATGCGGAGTTTGTGACAGTAGTTTGACAATTGATGTATGGTATAAACTTGTATTTATAAAATATGATTCGAACAAGTAAGCATTCGTATCGACAGAAAGAGTATTCAAGTATCTCAAAACGTACGATCTATCGCTCCCACATACTGCCAGCATCATAGTTAGCATGAATCGTGCTTGAATTGCGGCTACGTTAAAATTACAATATATTGCAAACAGCAGCAACGATTTTTAATATGCGCACTGTGCTGTAAGAATGAATGGACATAGAAGTGATTTAACAATATATTATGAAACGACAAAGGAGCGCTAAAGGTCTAAATTTTGATGCCGATGTGATCGAGCAGGTCTATACTGGCTACACCCTGGCGGTGTACATGGAAGACAGCGTCACATCGGCAGATGGGAGAGTGTGTCCTTGCTCACTATCGCTGACCGATGCAATTGATTGTTGTCGTCTCGAATCGAGTGTGTACATGTAAATGATCTAGTAGCCGTGCAAACATGTGCTTTAATACATGTAGACAGTGTTATGTGCTTGCGTTACGGCAATTGATCTATATCTCGATAGACGTTCATTTTTTTGTGTTGTTCAAGGCATGGGATGTAACGGGGCACACCCCTTGCGTGAACTTACCGCAAGGGTGACGTGTGCCCGACAAGCGTACACAGGGAAACCGAGAAAGCGTAGGCAAAAAAGAACCCGAAAGCTCTGTCAAGAGGGAAAAGTAGAACGGTTTATTTATTATAGTTATAACGTAAATAAATCATTTTTGACTTACTCTCACTATAATAAACAACCTTCTCCTATGTGGGATACTTGCTCACCACCCATTGCGCGCGTCCAGCAGCGATTGGTGGTTAAGTTGGTTGCTGTACCCGGTACATCAACCATGAAGTGGACCCCTCCACGAATATTACCTTTAGAGGTAATACTCCGACAACATCACTCACTTTGAGTGATGTTATTTGAATACTATCAAAAAAGATAATATTTAAAAATTGGTTGTTTCGCACAATTTTTTTATGTAACGGGCTCAACCCCTTTCATGGGAGATATTGTGAAAAGTAAGCTGTAATGCTGCAGTGTGGTGTGGGTGCATTGTGGCTGCACCACATGTATGAGTTACACAACATGTGTTATACACTCGGGACGGAGTTCTATTTAACATAATATTTAAATTCCATGTCAGTCGCCGAGGGATGACGCGCGTCCGCCACCGAATAAAGAGATCTTTTGGGAGGTGCTAGTTCAGTTATAGGTTTTATTCACGTATGATACGTGCCTCACGAGGCTTCTTCCATCGTTACGTGCTCATCATCAACTATAAAGGTAGCTACTCTTAATTACTCTGTACTGTGATTATCTAAATTCATTTGTCTCCTGGAACAAGGAC